CTGGTCCTGTTTGTTTATTCTATTTTATCTCCAGTCTTGCATTGGTCCTATTTATTAATTTATATTTATATTATTTAATTATTTTTTTATAGTAATATCTATTTATGAAGATTTGATAATATTGTAGATGGAGGTTGGACCTTGGGGATTTAGATGAGTAAATATCATTGAGAGAGTGATTAAAATTGGACTCATTTATCCTGACTATCCACTACAAATTTAATTTAAATCTTCATAAATGGAATAAATGAAATAAGTTGAGCAAGTTGAAAAATATATTTTATATATCATTGTAAGATGATATTATTTTAAATGATAATTGTTCTCACTTCCTTATTGTTATTTCTTGTGCATGTTATAACTAAAATATCAACATAAATAGATGGAAGCATCAAGATGAAAGACATGTATCATTCAACCATTGTTAGAAGAAAATTTTTGTCAATTATAATAATTATTTCTGATATAAAAATAATGTAAACGTGTAAAGCTTACATCTTTGTACATATAAATGTATAAACATTTATCTCATATCTTACTTTTGTCAAAACTTAATAGAAAGTAGTAATCTCTTAAAAATATGGTTAATATCGTAATAAAAAAAAGGACGCCACAATTTTATAGTTGAAATACAATATATATTTTTGTATCATATTTTAAGAAGTATAAATATATTATAAATCTAAATATAAAAGTATTTGTGGGTGAAATGTACTTAAAATAAGTGAAGAAATTTGTGGGAAGTTTCTTGCTGAAGAATGCTAACATCTTGAATGGTACACTCTTTTATAGGTTCTTAACCATCTTTTTGTGGGATCAACATTGTTACATGAACCTTAAGAACTATATCTAATTTTCATTTGTAGTAGCGAACTTTTAAAAAATCTTAATTAGGTTTCACTTGTTACCTTACACAGTTATTGTTTTGAATTCATATATTTTTAAATTAAATATACTTTGAACCTAAAACGTTTAATAATTAATATCTAAAACACAAAGACGAATACATAACATGAATATTTTAATTAGCATCTTTTTTTGATCCGAAATGTGTTGAAATAAGTTTCACCGAATCGGACTGAAGTGGTCTAAATTCATCTTTAATGTATGTGATGACTTTAACATAATATTCAATTATATTAATAAATAACATATTATTTATTGAATTTCAATTCAAAATTTCAAGCCCCTTATTCACAAAAACTTACATAATAAAGAAAATATTATTCTTCAGTTAATAATTTTTATAGGAAAAAGTATAAAAGCACATGATACTAACAATATAACCACCATTAACTAAACACTTCTACCAAATGAACATATTCTTCCTCCTCGCACCCTTCTTTTCACTATGAATCTTTATTTATACGGAGAGAGGGATAAAAGATCTCATTATTTTAAGATTCAAATTAAGGTAATTTTTTATCGTTTACAATAAAATAAATAGGTGTTATCTACAAAATATTACTTACGGATAAAAATCCGTAAGTAATGTTATCTATAGGTAATTATTTATTACCTACAAAATTATTGTCCGTAAGTAATGTTATTCGTGAATATTATCCATTATCTACGGAATTATTGTCCGTAGGTAATGTTGTCCTCCATTATCTACGGAATTACTATCCGTAGGTAGTACCATCCGTGGGTAATTATCCATTATCTACGAATTATCGTTCATAGGTAAATTACATATGGATTACAATTCATAGGTAAATTATATCAAATTAAGATAATTATATCAAATATATAAATATGTAAATATGAAAATATATAAATATGTAAATATATAAATATATTTATATTTTTATATTTTATATTTACTAGATAAATATAAATATAATTTATTTGTACATTATTATCAAAATATCTTAATAATTTAATGATTGGAGTATCAGTCTTTAATTTTAAGGTACTAGGTTTGATTTACGTCAATGATGATGTTCTTAATCTGTAGATAATAGACTCTTTTTTTGTAGTATTATATTTTAATTATATATATATATATATATATATATATATTAAAATGTTTTTTTGACAAAATAGTAAATTATAACTAGTAGATAATAGGTTTTTTTTTGTAGTGTTATATTTTTATTATTATTATTATTATATATATATATATATATATATTAAAATGTTTTTTTGAAAAAATAGTAAATTATAACTATTTTTATGAAAAAAAAGGTGAATTTGGGTAGTTAATTATTTTATAAAATATACCTAAAAATATTAGTCTAAAAATTAGACATCTCAACTAAACTAAAACTCTTAAAATTATTTATTATTTGTAAAATATTATTATGATAAAATAACAAATACAAAGTTCACGATAAAATTAAAATTATCTATTATTTGTAAAAATTGCTATGATAAAATATGAAATACAAAATTCATGATAGATTGATTAGACTAAAATTTATTATATATCAATCTATCTATTTTCAAATAAAAGATAGCTAATAAATCTGTTTAAAAATATTAAATTTAGGGGTATAAGAATATTATTTGATTTTTTAAACTTATTTCCCCCTTATTTTTTACCAACAATATTTTCAAAAAAATTCTCTCTCGTCTTTTGTGAAAATTAAAATTTTAGATTTTCTCTCTTCTTAAACTAGCATTAAATTTTAACATTCTCTCTTCTCTCATCTTTAATTGATATTTAATTAGTAAACGCTCTCTTCTCTCATCTTTAACTGGAATTTAATTTTCAAACTCTCACTTCTCTCAACATTAATTAGAATTAAATTTCAAAACTCTTCTCACTCCCGTGTTCGAAGGAGATTAAGAGGGTGATTGATAAAAAAATATTCATAAATCCTGATAATTATGATTTCTAAAAATATAAATGACTACATTTTATTTTATTTTTAGAATGTAATAATCAGTATGAAGTGATTAAAAGTTATATTTAGCATTAAGTAAAATTTAGAACTATAAATATCTTATAATTTTTTTTATGATTATATATATATATATATATATATATATATATATATATATATATATATATAGTGGTGGATCTTGACCATTGATCTTGAGGGAGCCAAATAATATATTATTAATAAATAAATATAAAAGAAAGAAAAAAGAAGATGAAAAGGTGAAATCATAAAATTATAAATATATACTTAAATATATTAAATGATCATTAAATTTGAGGAGACAAAATCATAAATTATATGAGATTTACAAAACTGAAGAGAGGCTGAGAAGATAGAATTGTAAATATACAGGTAAATATATTAAATATTCATTAATTTTAGGGGGGTCAAAATCATAAATTACATAAGAGTTAAAAAACTTTTGGGACCACGGCCCTCTCATTCCAAGAAGATCTGTGACAATAATATATATAATTTAATAATAACGATATAATATATCAATAAATCTTATTAAATGTAACAATAATTTAAATATATTTTTATTCCATTCAAGAAACGAGAGTGTAACATCTTCCTATCTAATATTATCCTTAGTCTCAATTGTTAAATGATACCAGATTCATTAACATATATAGCAGAACAGTTTCAATATTATTTTGGTTGGATAAAATCCTGTGTGATTAATAGTTTTAAAGTTTATTCAACTTAATTTTTTGTTTATAGAGTTTTTTAAGTTACTAAAATATTTTTATATTTGAAAATTTTAAGAACAAAACCTTACAATATATATATATATATATATATATATATATATATATATATATATATATATATATATATATATATATATATATATATATATATATTCATTCTTGTGGAAAGTAACAATTTACCAAAGGGTGTAACAATGTGTTCATTTGTTAGCAGTGTTTCCGTAGTCTGGGTGTTTATGGTTGTTCTTTTGTCCTCAGCAAAAGCTGGAATGTCTGTGAAAATCAATGTGGAGGTGACAAATGCTTTGGATGGAAAATTTGACCTAACTGTTTTATGCAACAATATTGATCCTGCACAGCACCTTCTCCATCCTGGTTCTTCAAAAGCATGGAACTATTCTGGTGACTTTTCACCCACGAATCCACCACCATTCCTATGTTATTTCCGATGGGGTGACCTTCAACTTCAAATGTTTAATTTGTTCGTTCCAGTTCTAGATTTTGATTGTCAAAAACACTGTCACTGGTTTATTAGAGAAATTGGACCATGTAGGTTTTATGAAGGCAATCTTCGTTGCTCTAAATGGATTAAAAATTAAAAATTAAAATGTATTTATCTTAATTTATATATTATTGATTTTACATGTTCATCAGGGTTGAAACCTCATGTATATCAATAATCAAAATAAAGAGTACTACTGTTTGATTTAACATTATTCGTCGTGGCTTTAATTTTCATAAGCGTTTTAAAAGTATAATTTCTAAGATTCACTATTCTTAATTTAATCACGGATTTTACAGTAACCTTCACATAGAGGAACTTCAATGACAATTTGCTTTAACACCAAATGTTAATATTTTCTTTTAATATTCTTTTAGTATGTTAGGGATATTAACAGAGATAGAAGATCTAAATTATTATTCTTTATCCAAGCATGTAATTCGTTATTAAATATATATTCGATGTATTATTGATAAAGATATTATGATGATTACATATTATTGATAAAGATACGATGATGATTTTAAAGTTAAACCTATGAATATAATTCTATAAATACCACATGTACTTTCTCTTACAAGCCACAGAATCTGATATTATAAGGTTTCATTATTTTGTTTTCATCTATTAACTAATTTAGATATATTTTATTAAAATTGTTTCGTGTTTGGTGTTGTTCAAATTTATTTATTCTTATGGTAAAACCATCAAAATTTGCTTTAAAAATTGTTGATTGCAATTGACTGAGCTGTTTTTCACAAGTATACATTGAATGCATTAAATTTTTTCTGTAACAGTTATTTTTAGCAGTATATTATTGTGAGCAAAAGTCATATATCTCTCTTGTACGAGGAAGAATATTGATCAGAAGAGATGGAGAAAAGGAGCAGTGCAAGAATGGGGATGTTTGGTAAAAGTGCGTCAAGCCTAACCCTAACCCTAAAGCTATGGGTGGTTGTGGTGCTGGTGTCATGTGCAAAGAATGGTAGGGTTGTGGGACAGCTGATAATAGAGGTGACAAATACATTGGACAATGGAAGTTTGGACTTAACAGTCTCTTGTCCGAATATTGGTCCTGCAAGCTACCTTCTGCGCCCTGGTGCTTTCCATCAGTGGATTAATGGCTGTGCTGCTGCTGAATCAGGAGGCCCACCATTCCTTTGTTCCTTCAAATGGAATGGTGCATCTCGCATGTTCAACATGTATGATCCTTCTAGGGATTCCGATTGCGAAGAGTGTCATTGGTATGTCAAAGAAACTGGACCATGTAGGCTCTATAATCGTCCCAACCATCCTAAAATTTGCTCTAATTGGCTTTGAAATATCTTTCATCTTCTATCGCCTGAATAAAACTCTCCTTCAAATTTCTCTATCCCTTTAATTGCTCTTCATTTCATCGTTTCTAAACTTCCTAAATCAATTTTGTTAATATTAATATTTCTTAATTAATTATTTTAATGTTAATTAAATAAAAAGTATTACATTATTATCTTTGAAAACTTTTAAAATCAAATTAAATAATAAATACATAATGGTATTTAAAGAGAATTAAGTTTTTTTTTTACCAATTCATATATTATATAATGATAATATTTATATAATTTAGTATACTTTAAATTTAAAATAATTAAAATTGAATATGAAATACAAAAGACTAAAATTACAGTCCGTACAAATATTAATAATAGAAATTATTAAAAAATAAATTTATCAATTTAAATTTAAAACTTTTTAATGTATATATATATATATATATATATATATATATATATTAAATATAAATATGCAGTAACTTTTCTCTTCTCGTTTTTTTTTCCTTTTTACCACGCCAATTATACTTTATATAATATAATATAATATAATATTAAAGATGTTTAAATATTTAAACAGATATGAAAACTACAGTGATGGATCATGTGCTTAAATATTATATGAATATATATATATATATATATATATATATATATATATATATATATATTAAATAAATTATTTATAAACAAAATTATTATTTTAATATAAATCACGAGGAGGGTAGTCACTATTCCTAATTCTTTTTAATTCTTTTAATTATTTATATATTTATTATTTTGATGTTTTTAATTATTTTAAATATTTAATTTTTTTATAATTTAAAGAAAATATAATATATATATATATATAATTCTAAATTTAAGTAATTTATTTTATAAATATTAAAATTAATAATTAAATATATAATAAAAAAATTAAAATAATATTTTAAGTAAAAAATATCACAAAAAAGTTTATTTTATCTCATATTTACATATTTTTTATTTTTTCAAATATTTTTCACCCTGATAAGATACAATAGTTATGATCCGATTATTGGTCAATACATTAATTGCTTAAATTGAAAAAAAAAATTAAATAACTTTCTCCAATTTGAAATAATTTATACATTATTAGAAAATTAGTTTTTTTCTACCAATTTTCTTGCAAAAAATTGTTTAAATTTATAGAAAACTTATTTCTTGCAATTTTTACCAAAACTTTGCAAAAATATTCCCATGAAAAATGAGAATTTTTAGTAGTGATATATTAAATTCATATTAGAATAATAATTTTATTTATAAAAAATCACTTTCTGGAGATATATGTCTTTTAATTGTAAAATATTTTCAAAACAAAATTATTTTCTATATAATTAAGACAGTTTAAGATAAAAATAAAAATGTTTTTATTAATTATATACTTACTTTTCCTCTAATTTTACCTAATTTACATATATATTTTTATTATGATGGAAAAAAATAGTCTTTAATATTTTTAGGAATCATAATTTCCTGGATTTATATTGATATTGTTATGAAACTTTCTTTTCTATCAAACACCTCCTTAATGTCCTTCAAAGCTGACGGAGAGAAGAGTTTAAAAAATTAATGTCAGTTAAGGATGAGAGAAGAAAGAGTTTAAAACATTAATGGTAGTTAAGGATGAGAGAAGAGAGAATAAAAGTTTAGTCCCAATAAAATTTAAAAATTGTTGGTAAAAAAAATGAAAGAGAGGAGAAAATAAGTTTTAAATTTTGAATAGTATATTACTCATATATCTCTCATTATAATTCTTTTAATTATTTTTATTATATATGACTTCGTTAAAAATAGATAGGATTACCTGAATTTAAATTTATTAATTTGGTAATTTTAACCTAGTTTTTTTAATATCGTATTTAATTATTTATAATATTTATGCGATTTAAATAATAAATGGTTTTTAAAGCGTCAAATTTATTGGATGATTGGTTTCACAATGATATTTTATATTCATTTAAAAAATATTTAACTACAGAAATTCACTGGATGATTGGTACTGCAACTAAAAACTGGTGTGTGTGTATATATAAAGAATGAATGATAGTGAAAAGAAGAGTGACAGAAGGTAGAATGTGTTCATTGGGTAGAAGTGTTGGGTTGTTGATGGTTATATTATTAGGATCATCATGGGTGGAGAATTGTATGGCAGAGAATAAAACACTTGTTTTGGCTGTAAATGTTTTGGAAAGTGGAGATAAAATAGCTGTTTCTTGCACTATTGATCGAGCTCGACCATTTATTCTTCCCTCTGCATATTACCATATATGGAACTATTCTTCTGATATGAGGAAATTCGTTTGTTACTTTCAGTGGGGGAATACTGAACCCATTCATTCATTTGAAATGTATCAAAAAATTCGTGATGATGGTTGCAACCCCTGCTTTTGGTTTATAAAAAACGATGGAGCATGTAGGATAACCAGAGCTAAAATTTTTGAATGCCATAAATGGAGAACTTAATATATATATTCATTTTCTTTTTATTGTTCATCTGAGGGTTCAGATCTCAAAGTTGTATCTCCATATTTCATTCCCTCTTATATCATTTCAATAAAGAGTATGCTTCTTGTTCTGGTTAATATCATGTTCGCGTTAATATTAATCGTGTATTTCAATGCCATGTTCTACCTTACCTTTTATGTTTTTAAATGAATTGCTAATCTCTATTTTTTTGGGTACTGTTTATAACTTTTATTTAAAAGTGAAAAGTGTCATTAAAAAAAGTTAATTATTTAATATTGAAGTTATACATTTAATGAATAAAAATAATTATTCACTTATTTGCATTTATTAAATTTATGTATTTAATGGAGATCAACGATTTTTATCAATGATCAATTATGATTATATATATATATATATATATATATATATATATATATATATATATATATATATATGTGTGATTCTCTTGACTAATTTTCAACAAATATACTTTAATATCAAGAAAACATAAAATATTACCGCAATCTCTTATATTTTATCATAAATATATATATATATATATATATATATATATATATATATATATATATATATATATATATATATATACCAGAGTGTATAGATGTATTTTCTTATTTTGTTAAAAATTATTATTCAGTATTTGAAATTTTTTTATTTTGTCCTCTTAATCTTATATATTTAATGAACCCCTTGATTATTCTTATAAATAGACTTATGTGTAATTGAGAGTGTACAAATACACTACTTAACTAGAATAAAATTATATATTTGAACATGTTTTCTTCTTGTCCCAGAAAAGTCTTCTTTACTTTCCCTCTCTTTTTTTCATTACTTTAAATTACTTGTCGTCCTCATTAACTTAGGGTCTTAGATCCGTCATTGTTTCTATACATATATTAACATCTAATACACATTATTTTATATTTAATACATGTATTCTATTATCATAACTTATGTAAATACTATTTCTCACATTTCAACAAATAATTAAATTTGTGATATTTGACTTATATCTATTATTTTGATCATAACTTTTTCTACAAGTATCATTTTTAGCTCATTCTATTTTTATTGGATTCTTTATTTTAAGGGATTCAATTTGCATATAAGAAAGGTTAAATTTGGAGTTTTAAGTTATTTTTTTATGATTTTTAGAAGTTTGGGCAAACAATTTCTATAAAATTTTGTTTGAGTGAAAATTTCTTTACCTGAGCGAAATTACACTCGAGAGGAGTCATTTTCTCTTCTACACATTTCCCTTGAGCAAAATATGTAAATAATAGATTTCAAAAATATACTTTAAACTAGTTTCCAGACATTAATTACTATCCGTAGAGACTGTATTACATTATTTCCTTATAGAACATGTAATACCTAGTCCAAATATTGTTATTATACCCTAGCATTCCATATACATCTTTCTCATATAATAAATCTAATTCAACACATTCAATCACATACAAATACTAATAATATCAATTTACGTTCAACTTTTTACAAATAAGATAATGTGACCAAGTCACCATCAAAGTCCAAATCATTTACCCTATAGTGCTAAGAAATTTACCACTAGCACTTTCCAATTTTAGTATTTTCAACCTTGAAAACTCCAAATCCTCAATTTCTTAGGGAGTCAGATCATGTGTTAAGTGGTAAAATTTGATGTAATTATGCTTTTAATTGTTATCTAACCACTTAAATTATGTTGATTCTAATATATTTTTCTCTCAATGTAGGATGCAATTTATAATACTTTGATATAAGAGCAATGATCATAATTGTCACGATAATTGAAGCAAAAATTGAAAGAAGAGAGAAGTTTGTCAGTCTAATATCCGCTCAAGCAATATGGATTTTCGCTTAAGCAAAAATACGCTAAAGCTTTCTGGAATTTACCCGCTCAAGCGAACATTTCTCGCTTGAGCGAAAATACGTTAAAGCTCTTGGGAATTCAACTGCTCAAGCGAACATTTTTCACTTGAGCGAATGTGTCGCTTAAGTGAATGATGTGTGTCCCAAATTCTTCTATAAATGATAATACGCATTTTGAGAAGGGAATGAATTTTTCTTAGGTTTTCGAAAGGAGGCGCGACTGCAGCTCCAATTTTCGTCCAATCTTCGTTCATTATTCATCTCTTCTTCATTTGGATCTTGTAATGACCATCATGAGTGTCTAACTTCATTATCTTCAGATTGGGTGCACTTCCTTTGAACTCTTTGGTATCTTTGTGATATTTTGAGATATTAATCTATGTTTTTTATGTTATTTTTCTTATCCTTTATGCTTGTTTATGTTTTTATCCTTGATGTTCATATGTATTGGAAAATATATCTTGAAACCCTTTATTAGGTTAATAATATTTGCTACATTAATTACTAGGAATGGTAAGAAATGTATTAAATGCTTAACACCCTAAATTTAATGCTGGAAAATCTATTAAATGTATGAGGAATCTATGTTTACAAGGTTTTCTTATGAATTTCATGTTTGAGGAATCAATGTGAATGATTTAATTAGGTGGCATTAATACTGATAGGTTAATTGATGTTATTAATTTAACCTAGCCATTATACAAAGGAAGGAAAAGAAATTAATTCAATCATAAGTTCTTATAGTTTATCTTTTCTAAATATATTTTATAACTCTTTACCGCTTATTTTCAACCCAAATATTTATGAAAAATCAATTTTGTGTCAATACACTTAGTAAGCATATGATTCGGAATTTCTAGTGAAATCGTTCTTCGTGAGATCGACTTTTATTTAATTAAAATATTATACTGCGATTGATAATATTAGTACGCTTGTCTAACGAACAACATCATACTCACAGAAAATCGTAGTCAACAAATCAAAACTACCACAATTTATCGAAATTTATCTTTTCACAACAAAGTCTGCATGCAAATCCCCGAGACATACATGCAAACTTAAACTCAATTATGCAAAATTTGTCTAAAAATTGGAAAAGGAGATACCTACTCTATTCAAAATTCTAATAAGGTAGAATTGATGTTCTCTCCTCTAGAAGCATTAAGTGAGAAATCTAGACTGAAGACAGAAAAATAGAGTCAGCAAATAAATAATGATTTTGTGACGATGAAATTTGAACAGCTTAAACTTTTTTATATTTATATTTCTTTTTACCTTAAAATTTTAAACTGATTCTCATTATATCACTTATATTATTAACTCACTTAAATTGGATTCTTACAATTTATAAAGTAATTTTATTTATTATCTAAGCCATTTTAAATAATTTAATTAAGTCATATATTTTTTTTAATAATACGTTGCATCGATGACTTTAAGGTGAAGAAAAACATAGTTATATATATATAAAATTAAAAGAAAAATGAATTAAATTTAAAGAATTAAAATATATATTTTAGTAGAAAACTCTTTATTCAGAAACTAAAAAAAAATTATGATATATATTCTCATTTTTTTTTTCAAAGTGACATTTAAGGTTATTTTAGAAAAAAAAAACGTTTTTGATAAAATATTTATAAGTTCTCTATAACCTCTTTATTTTTATTATATATATATATATATATATATATATATATATATATATATATATATATTACAAAATAGGTGAAAATTGAGATATTAATAACAAAAAATAATTAATATTTTCTTAAATTTTAAAATGACAACAGAAACAAAAATGTAAAAAAAATGATAATTAAACAGAAACATAAATATTAAACTCTATAAAAATCTTATAATTAAACAGAAACATAAATTTTTACATTTCAAATTTCTATTGCATGTTAATTGAAACTTCTTTGCTTAGAAAAGAGTTAGTAAATCCAAATATAATATCATCCACGTATATTTGTATAAATAACAAATTCTTACCAGCTTTCTCGATGAATAAGGTTGACTTCACCTTATTTTTGTTGAAGTTGTTTTTAATAAGAAATTGACTTAACATTTCATACCAAGATCTAAGAGTTTGTTTTAATCCATAAAGTGTTTTCTTTAATTTGAATGTATGATATGAAAATTTAAAATCTGTGAAACTCGAAAGTTGGTCAACATATACTTCTTCTTTGATAAAGTCATTCAGAAAAGTGCTCCTAATATCCATTTGATATAGTTTGAAATTCAATGTATGTTATAGCTAACAAAATTTTGATTGCTTCCAATCTTACTATTGGTGCAAAAATTTCGTCATAATCAATATCTTCTTATTGATTATAACCTTTAGCCACCAACCTAGCTTTGTTTCTCACAACACATCGAGTATCATCCAACTTATTCTTAAACATCATTCCTTTTGAACAGATTTAATTCATCCTGCATTGGCAAAAACCAATGTTCATCATTGGAGTGCTTCTTCCACACATTTTGGTTCTTCTTGAAATACAAAAGCTACATTCATGCAAAACTGATTAGTTTGTCTTCTGATCTTTACTTTAGTTGATATATCTCCAATAACATTTTATAAAGATAATCCTCTTTGAAATTTTCATTCTCTTGGTAGTTCCTCTATTTGTTGTTGCTTATCTTTTTCTTGAATAATATGTGGTTCTTCTGTTGCTTCTTCCATAACTTCAAGATTTGCACTTTTTCTATATTTTTAACAATTTCATCAAACACAACATGCACATATTCTTCAATAATCAAAGCTATCTTATTATATACTCTATAGGCATTACTAGTTGTAGAATATCCTAAAAATATTTTTTTATCAAATTTAGAATCAAATTTCTCAAGATTACTTTTGTCATTATTTAAAACAAAACATTTACATCCAAATACTTTGAAATAAGATATGTTTGGCTTCCTACCTTTCAAAGTTTGAGAAATGTTAGTAATTTTTTTTGGATCAAAATCAATTAATTTTTCATAACTCAACTCTGAGGTCAGTTGTTATAAAAATGTTAATGACGAGAACATACCCAAGAGGGGGTGAATTGAGTTTGCACAATCTTTTCAATTCTAATCAATTATTAAAGAATTTTTTTTCTAATAATTAAATATAGAAGAATTATAACAACATTAAGAAAACAAAAATATCAAGATAAGGAGAAGAAGAAAAGAACTCAAAAATTTATACTGATTCAATTCTTTGTGAATCTACATTCAGTTTTAACCAAACAACCTTAACCTAAAGTTTTTCATTAAAACAAAATATAACATAATCTAATAATCTTGACTTACAACAACTTTTAATCAAGATCACAATACTTAAAAATGTTTCTCCTCACTATTTTCAAGTTAAACTAATGTAGCTAACCTCACACACATCAAAATTCAATACAAGATTCACAACAAAAGATAAAAAATGATTTCACCTTAAACTCATAGAATACTGCATCCTATAGCCAAACAACATTTTCTTTGAATTTGATCTTCAAAGCACTTTACATAATCACCCACTTTTCTTGATGCCCACAATATTCCTTCTTATTACTTTAATTATTTCTAAAATGATATATTTGATTGAAGAAAATTTGTATTCTTTTATAGAGAAAAGATATGTTATAACTGTCGTAGATAATTGATCAGCAGAATATCTAATCGATTATTTGCGTGTAATGGTAGTTTAAAAATAAGTTATATAATCGATTAAGTATCAACACAATTATTAATGTGTTATGTTAAAATAAATATTTAGCCACATAATCGATTATTAACACATGATATGAGAAATTGATTTTAAGTCATATAATCGATTAAGTACTTATGTAATCGATTAATACTATGGCTTTATACAAAATTACTCACTCATCTATCTAGCTATCTTATAATGGACATCATGAAAAATTAATTTCAAATAATCTTCCTTCTTTATTATCAGAAAAAAAAGTCTTTTAGTCATTTATGGCACGCCTGATGTGGTAACTTTTTAACACTAAACTGTGTTGTTTATGGCATTTAAATGTAGATAATGTTATTTTGCTGTAAAATGTGTAATTTTTCATTTGAGTACAAAATGTTTCTGACCCTGAATCTTTTTTTTTTACATTAACATATAGCTCTTCATGTCAACTCAATTGGACTAATATTACCGTAGTGTTACCCCTTTTTTTGTTAAAAAAGTTTAATTTGCATGTATAAGTAGTTCAGAACAGAAGTTAGTGTTGTGCATGTGGAGATACACGTTAGTCTTGAATCCTCCTTATACACCATATGCATTTACCAGAGCAAATTTGTGTTTGATGTATCATATATAAAATATGGCAACGAAGGAGACAAATTCATGATCAGTCATTGCACTAGTCTAACCAAATCTAAAGCAAATAAAACTGTGAATATAAATGATCACGAATTTTACAGTAATTAATCTTCACACACAGGAACTTCAATAACAATTTGCTTTAACACCATATGTTAATATTTTCTGATAATATCTCTTTTTAACATTTTAGCGAAATATATGAACTCCAAATGTTAATATACTCTTTTAATATGTTAAGGATAATTATAAAGATAGAATATTATTAATATTTGTTATAATATTTTTAAAAAAATTTGTTGATATTAATATTTATTTATTGATGATTTTAATGTTAACTAAATGAAAATAATTACATTATTAAGTTTAAAAGATTTAAAAACAAATAAAAAATCAATTGAAAATAGATAAATAATGGGATTTAAAGATGATTAATTTTTTTAACCAAATCACTTATATAAATATATATAAAAAGGGTCTTTTGATATAATCAAAGAAAAATAGAAATATCATAATTTAATGAAAAAACCATTATTATGATTTATATATTTAAAAAATTGTAAAAAAAGGAGAAAGAAAATAATAAATATATTTAAAGGATAAAAAAATTAAAATATTATTTAAAAAATATGTGCACTGACTCTAATCTTATATAACGATGATATATATTATTATACTTAAAATTAAAATTAATTATAAAATGTAAATGATTAACAGTACAACTAACACGTTCAATGATAGTAAAAGTACCCCTAAATATATTATAAACAAATTTTGTGTGTATTAATTTTTATAATATTCACATTTATTTGAAACTTAAAAATATAAAACATTAATAAATATCATAAACCATTATTTATTATTGTATTTGATTTTTCAATCAACTAAACAGTATTTTCATTATATATTACAAGCAGGATAATTCAACTTAAAATAAAAATAATTATATATTTATATTATTTTAAAATTTCAACATGTTTATTCATCCCTTCAAATATTTCAATCAAAACCGTAAATCTGAGCAAAGTTTTATGCTTGCTAATTAATTATTTTAATGGCATTGTTCTTATGATAATGTATAATATGATAAAATAAGTTTAGGGTTCAGGTTTAATTGTGGCATTTTTTTTAATTATTATTAAACAAGAGTAGTAGGTAAAATAAAAATATTTTATATATGTAATTTACATTACTATTTTGTTTTTACAGGATATATAAATAATGTGGCGTATTTTTTTTACATATTAATAATAATATATAATATAATAATAATAATAATAATAATTATTATTATTATTATTAATGCATATTATATTTATACATTTTAATTATAATAGTATATAATAATAATAATTATTGTTAATTATATATATATATATAATTATTTTATTAATATTTTGATAAATATTTTTTTTATTATTATTTTTATATAATAGTTTAACAATAATAATATATATATATATATATATATATATATTTATTTATGTAAATGAGATTTTTTTAATTATTTAAATTACTTATAATATTATTTAATATATTATATTTGAAGAAATTTTTTATGTGTAGAATAATAATTATTTTTAAAATAAAATAATATTATTTTATTAAATAATTAAATATATATTATAAATTAATTTGATAAATAATTTATTTAATCTAAAAATAAATATTAGGATAAATATCTCTTAATCACTTATTTTAATATATAATAGTTAAGATTTATTACATAAATAATTTACTAAAAAATATGATAATAAATAATTATTTTTTATTTTTTATTTAAAGATGGAATGAATATATTTTTATAATTTATATATTAAATTATTAAATAAAAATTAATTTCATTAATATAATTTTAGATTTTAAAGATATATTTTTTAATTTATTACTTTTTTTTATTCGACCCATCTTAAAAATTTATCAATGTCTCTCATGAAAATGGAACGGAAAGGATTCCATATCGGTCAGAAAAACAAAAGTTAGGTCATGAGATATTTTAAATCTTTCTTCACGAAACATACTCAATTTTACATATAGAATTTAAGAGCAGTGCAATCACGCACTGAAAACTTGAAGTCAATAACATTCAAAGCCATGAATATATTAACTCAAACCTAATATATTATTGAGTAATTAATACATATTCATCAACAACTTTAAGTTCTCATCCCCAACATATACTTAAAATAAATTCTTACTTCCAGCTATAACAAATTTTAGTGACACCTTGGTACCTACATGGTCCAACTTGACTTATCAACCAATTGCACTGTTGGCAACCTCCACCCTGACTTGGCACGCACATATCAAAGTTGTGAAATGCACCTTTCCATTGGAAGAAACAAAAGAACGGTGGCTTTCGAAACGAGTTACCACCAGAACTATTCAACTCATAGGAAGTACCTGGGTGAATAAGGTGAGGTGTAGGATCAAGATTGTTGCAATAAATTGTTAAGTCCAAATTTCCATCCAATGAATTTGTGACCTTAACAAGTGCCATACCATTTTTTGCTGACACTAATAACAGCATCACCACCCAGAGGGTTGAAACACTTCTACCACATGATGACATTGTTGCACTTTTGATCTATCTTTTTTTTTCTTTCTTGAACAATCTTTTCATACACTTATTCAACAAAATTATGTTTGTGACTATATACAGTTACAAAATTAAAATATTATGGGATATGAAATATAACTCATTCAACGTTTAAGGTTTGTTTTAATAAAGTCAAAGATAGTCAAAATTATTTATTAATAAATCCATTCAACATTTATTTTATCTTTATAAACTTAATTCTTACATATGTTGTTAGTTTTAATAATGACAAATAAATAAAAAATATTAATTTTTATTAAATATTTAAAAAAATTAGAAATATCATTAAATTTTTTACTCTTTAAATTCAATGTTGGTCTGAGTCAAGAAAGGTAGAGAATTTGAAATTTTAATATTGGTCAAATATGAGAGTAAAGAGAAAATTTAAAAATTGAATACTAATTAATATTTCTGAAATATTTGCATGTATATATAGAGAGAGTAAAGAAAAGTGTGGTAGAAGGTAGAAGACGATGTCTTTGTTTGGAAGAAGTGTATCAGTAGTATGGGTGGTTATGTTGTTATTATCAAGGGTGAAGAATAGTGTGGGAGAGGAGAAACATGTTAGGGCTACAAATGGTTTGGGTAATGTGGACTTAGACATTTCTTGTAACATTGATAGAGGCCCTCCAATCATTCTGAGTCCTGGAAGTTACCATGACTGGAACTATTCTGATGATAAGGAATTCGAATGTTTCTTTCAGTGGGAAGGTGGCTATCACTCCTTTGATATGTACCAAGAACTTAGGGATCATGCCTGCAATACCTGCTTCTGGATCATAAAATACCAAGGACCATGCAGACATACGGATCAAAATTTTGATTGCTTTCAATGGAAAACTTAGGATATATTATTAACTCCTCATCTTGAGATCGCAAAGTTGTAGCTTCAAATATCATATTTCTTAAATTTTAAATAAAGGGTGATTATTATTTTGGTGGATATTATGCATGTGTTTCAAACGTTATTTCCGCCTTTTCTATCTCTAAATGAAATGGAAATAAATAACGTTGATCCTATTCATTGACAAAATCAAGTGATATTATGCCGTAAGAAAATGAAAATGTTATAAAAATAATGACACAACATACCAAGAGGGGTGAATTGGGTTTGCACAATCTTTTCAATTTAATCAATTATTAAAGAATTTTTGTTTATAATCAAACATAATTAAGAAAATAAGAATATCAAGATAAAGAGAAGAAAAAAGAACTCAAGAATTTATACTTGGTTCGATTCTTTATAAATCTATGTCCAGTTTTAACCAAACAACATTAGCCTGGAGTTTTTCATTAAAACAGATTACAACCTAATCTAATAATTTTGACTTACAACAATTTTTAATCAAGATCACAATACTTGAAAATGTTTCTCCTTACTATTTTCAAGTTAAATTGATGTAGTTAGTCTCACATGCATCAAAATTCAATACAAGATTTACAAGAAAAAGATAAGAAACTATTTTACCTTAATCTCATAAAACACTGCATCTTATAGTCAAACAACATTTTCTTTGAATTTTATATTCAGAGCATTTTACATAATCACTCACTTTTTTTTATGCCCACAACATTCTTTCTTATTATTTTAATTGTTTCTAAAAAGATATATTTGATTGAAGAAAGTTTACATTCTTTTATAGAGAAAAAATATGTTATAAGCTGTCATAGATAATCGATTAGCAAGATATCTAATTGATTATTTGCGTGTAGTGGTAGTTTGAAAATAAGTCATATAATCAATTAGATATCAACATAATCGATTATTAGCGTATTATGTTAAAACAGATATTTAAGCACATAATCGATTAAGTGATTACATAGTCGATTCTTAGCGCATGTTATGAAAACTTGATTTTAAGTCATATAATTAATTAAATACTTATTTAATCGATTAATACAAATTTAGTTTTAACATAATTGATTATTTTTATTTTTAAATATTAGATTATTTGACTTTATACAAAATTACTTATTCATCTATCTAGCTATCTTATAGACATCATAAAAAGTGATTTTTAAATAATTTTCCTTCTTCATTAACAATTTCTCTTTTTTTTATGATGACCAACCAGCAAAGTAAAAACATAGATTCTTCTCCATCTAGTATAGTAAAATAGCAGCAGTTAGAGTAAACTCTTTGACTTTGAATAAACTCTTCTCCCTTCTTTGGACTTAATAAAAAAGGTTAAACAAAAGTAGTAATAGCATTAAAAAGAAAATATAATGTTAGAGTAATATTAAGTATTAGTAGTTAAATATGTTAAATATTACAATGCAACAAGAAAATGGTAATATGTTAAATATTACAATGCAACAAGAAAATTGTTCAAACAAATTAAAAATATGATTAAAAAGAACATCAGTCATCGTTTGAAAATAGTTCAATTGTTCCAACATCATCATCAGTTCCTTCATTTTCCATTTTTATGCCATCTTGGTCATAACACGGATAGAATAGAAGAAACCTGATCATCCAAACTATCAAATCTGGAGCAATAATATTCATGTTTCTCCTATTGCCAATGATGTATCTTATCCAGTTTTTCTAACATACTTTGTTTTAAGGCAGTAAAATTACTCCTAGTAGAGGAGACACGAATATCAACATTTATGGGTTCTACTTCTTCGTCAACAAATTATTCTTCATCTTTAAATAACCACCATCATCTCTCTTAACCAATCCAATATGATGAAGAGCATATATTTGCCTATTGTATTTAAATGACTCATGATGATAAATGACTCTTCATCCACATTTATGCTTTCTAATTACTTATTTTAATGACATTTTTTTTATGCTTTCTAATTAATTATTTTAATGACATTGTTCTTATGATAACGTATAATATGTTAAAATAAGTTTAGGGTTTAATAAATTAAGTTAGGATAAAAAATTGATAGTTTAATTAATTAAATTATGCGTAATTTTGAATAATAATTATTTTTAAAATAAAAATAATATTATTTTATCACAAAATTAAATATATTATAAATTAATTTGATAAATAATTTATTTATTAAAAAATAAATATTGTATAATCACTTATTTTAATATGTAATAATTAAGATTTATTATATAAATAATTAAAAAAAATATGATAATAATAATAATAAATTTTTAACTTTATTTGAAAAATGAATAAATATATTCTTATAATTTTTATATATTAAATCATTAAATAAAAAATAATTTTATTAATCTAATTTTAAATTTTAAAAATATATTTTTTATTTATTTAAATATTTTTAAAATTTAAATTAAGATAAAATTAATCTATTTACCTATTAATCTAATCTAATATCAAATTAAATTAAAAATTATCATTCATTTCAAAATATAAGTCACAATAAATCTTTAGTTTTTTATTTATTTATTTGACCCATCTTAAAAAATTAACAATGTCACTCATGAAAATGGAACGGAAACGATTCTATATCGGGTCAGAAAAACAAAAGTTAGGTCATGAGATATTTTAAATCTTTCTTCACGAAACATACTCAATTTTACATATAGAATTTAAGAGCAGTGCAATCACACACTGAAAACTTGAAGTCAATAACATTCAAAGCCATGAATATATTAACTCAAACCTAATATATTATTGAGTAATTAATACATATTCATCAACAACTTTAAGTTCTCATCCCCAACATATACTTAAAATAAATTCTTACTTCCAGCTATAACAAATTTTAGTGACACCTTGGTACCTACATGGTCCAACTTGACTTATCAACCAATTGCACTGTTGGCAACCTCCACCCTGACTTGGCACGCACATATCAAAGTTGTGAAATGCACCTTTCCATTGGAAGAAACAAAAGAATGGTGGCTTTCGAAACGAGTTACCACCAGAACTATTCAACTCATAGGAAGTACCAGGGTGAATAAGGTGAGGTGTAGGATCAAGATTGTTGCAATAAATTGTTAAGTCCAAATTTCCATCCAATGAATTTGTGACCTTAACAAGTGCCATACCATTTGCTGACACTAATAACAGCATCACCACCCAGAGGGTTGAAACACTTCTACCACATGATGACATTGTTGCACTTTTGATCTATCTTTTTTTCTTTCTTGAACAATCTTTTCATACACTTATTCAACAAAATTATGTTTGTGATTATATACAGTTACAAAATTAAAATATTATGGGATACGAAATATAACTCATTCAACGTTTAGGTTTGTTTTAATAAAGTCAAAGATAGTCAAAATTATTTATTAATAAATCCATTCAACATTTATTTTATCTTTATAAACTTAATTCTTACATATGTTGTTAGTTTTAATAATGACAAGTAAATAAAAAATATTAATTTTTATTAAATATTTAAAAAAATTAGAAATATCATTAATGACATTGATTTTTTTTTCATTATTTTAAAAGGTTTTATGAACTGGTTTCAAAAACATCATTGACGGGCATTAATGTTTTTCTCTCACTACTTTGAAAAAACGTGGGAGGGTTTTATTACATTACATAGTTCAACTATAAAAACCTCTCACATGTCTACATTCTCTACTACTTATCTTTATCATCTTTGAAGAAAATTTGCAGAAAAAGGTGGAAGAATGTCTCCATTCTCGAGAAATGTTTTGGTGGCATTGATGCTTATGGCATTTGTGTGGAACAATGCTGTACCAACAAATGGAATCGCCATCATCGGGGTGAAAAATCTGTTGGGTGATAATTTGGGCTTAGACGTTTATTGTCCCCATGTTGATGGTAACCACCACGTTCTTGCCAATGGTATTGCCTATCAGTGGAGATATAACGGTGAAGTTGCACCACCAGGAGAATCACTGTTTCTGTGTTCCCTTCGATGGCGTGGTGTTACCAAGTCCCTTGATTTGTGTACGCCAAGTAAGTATACTGGCTGTGAAAGTGTCATTTGGGATGTTAAACAAGATGAAGTATGCAGGTATAGAGGTACTAATTATTTTTGCTATAAATGGAATGCATAAAGAGCCATTCAATCATCAAAATAAATAAGTACAGTGATTCTTGTTTCCTCAACATTGTTATAACTCTTCATGGCTTTCAGAGTTCTTCAGTTCTTGTTTTCTCTATGTCAGTGCATCGCTCATTTCATGTAAATGTACATGTGTGCATGTCACATATATCAGGGAAGAAGGACAATTTTATATAACTATATATAATTGAATAATACAGTCAAAATAGTTAGTTACATTCTTAGTATATATCAATTAAATTAAAATATTAAAATGATTATCAGAATATCTGAAATAGCGTGTAGGTTTAGTCAATGAGGCTCTTGAAATAACTATGAAAGACAAAAAATAGCATGTTATCATTAAAAAAAAGAGATTATATTAAATTCATAGTAAAAATAGGTTAATATGTTTTATAAAATAATTAATTTAATTTAACTTATACCTATGAAATATTCGTATGAACTGTTGTAAAATAAAATATACTTGTATTTCATGATTTATAATTAATTTATTATTAAGTTTTTAATAATATCCTTATTATTTAAAAATAAGTTTCAGTTTAATTAAAATTTGATTATTTAAAAATAATATATCAATTTTTAGTACGGTTCTTGTAACGACCCTAGAAATCGCTACTATAATGATGTCTTCGCAAAGTAGTAAACAAGTAAATAACAACATTTATTTTACATTATATTACTGTAATTGTAACATATATTGAAATTCCAGTTCACTAACGGAACTTCAAAATATATTAACATCATTTATTTATACATTATACATGTAACAGTAGCTCCCTCGAAGCTATCCCACTGAACTATCCCTGTTGTCCAGTAGTCCCATCACCATTTCTCAACTCCTGATCTGCTCCCACATAAAAGTGATCATCGCAGTCCCATCCACATGGAAAAATAGGGGTAAGTATTAAATCATTCGATATAATAAAACAGATATAGAATTATATATTATGATCAATTACGAAATTATCAACACACTAAGACACCTTCCGGAAGTATACCCTAACTATGCCCGAACTCAGAGGCTATCATCTGTGGGCACATTGTGATCGGTACCCGCAGTACCATTCTGACCACCCTCCACACAGAGTAGGATTACTGGCGCCTTTCATCACTCATACTGGAGTACCCCTCCGAGCGCGCCACCAGTCATCCTCCCATCGACTTCTCACCACCTGATCTCGTAGTCTACCTGACCCGACCAATCAGTGAAGTCTGGGACCTCATTCAGAATCCTCTGACATAGTTATTACACTAATGTACTCTGTACCACCCCGGGTACCATTCAAACATACAAAATTTATTCACATTTGCCGGATTCTGGACCACCTGTCCTCACGGCTCATTCGGTTCAATAAAATAGTATTTGACTGATTCTGGCACCAACCCTCCGGCTCAGTCTAGCCAATATATAACGTCTCAGGACTGATTCTGGGCATCAGCCCTCACACTCAGTCTGACCCACACACGTCACAACACACTACTTTCATTCTCTCTCTCTCTCTCTCTCTCTCTCTCTCTCTATATATATATATATATATATATATATATATATATATATATATATTTTCCTAAAATCATTTCTGAAATCATTAAATTACTATTTTGCCCTTGATCTTTTAAAAAATTCCCACCATATCCCTTTCTTCTTCCTTCTCTCGCTCAAGCGAGTACAACGGTCGCTTGAGCGATACAGAACCCGAGAGTCCCCTTTGTTTGAAGGTTTCGTCGCTCAAGCGAGTACACAGGTCGCTTGAGCGAAACATGACCCGAGAGTCCCCTTTGTTTGAGGCTTCGTCGCTCAAGCGAGTACACCCTTCGCTTGAGCGAGACATGACCCGAGAGTCCCCTGTGTTTGAAGGCTTCGTCGCTCAAGCGAGTACACCAGTCGCTTGAGCGAGACATGATCCGAGGGTCACCTTTGTTTGAAGCTTAAGTCGCTCAAGCGAGTACACCGGTCGCTTGAGCGAGACATGACCCGAGGGTCACATTTGTTTGAAGCTGTCGTCGCTCAAGCGAGTACATTGGTCGCTTGAGCGAGAAAGAACCCGAGAATCCCAAATTTTCCAGGTATCCTCGCTCAAGCGACGTATTTTCGCTTGAGCGAATTTTGCAGGTTTTCCAATTCCTCGAATTCCAGATTTCAAATTTCTCAGTTTCAATAACCCAAATTAGTTCCAAATCAAAATTAAACCATAAACATGTTCAATTTAAGTTAAAAACAACACTTTTATTATATAATTCATCCTTAATTTCAAGAATTTCTAAAACTTTTAAACGATGAACAGTTCATCAAAATCAGAAATTCTGCAACAGACATTCTTCAAGACATTCCAATAATTCATATCTCTACTCCTATTCCTTATTCACGAGTACCCGAGCAATTCAATTTCATATATTGAATGAATTAAACTTCCCCTTACTTGGTATGGTATTTCTACCGAAGTTTTCCCACTTAATTCAAGTTCTCTCCCGTTTCACCAGATCCTGCACGAGTAGAGTCTCGTTGCTTGAAATTTAGACAATAGAAGAAGAAGGATGAGAGGAAAATTTTGATTCCCCTCCTCCCCCGCTTCAGTATTCATATATAAGAAAAATTTTATCTGTGCATGAGGAAAACTTGGTTACGAAGTTTTCTTGCACAGTAATATTAATATAATATTAACATAAGGCATACGACGTCACAGTTCCTGAATGGATTGGTCCAGTCTAATTTTCAAATTGAATAAATACTATAATTAGTTTTATTAACATTTATAAACTACCTCAGAAGTTTTGTGTATTTTATTTATCATTTTATTTTTAGGTGACTTAAGAAAATTATTTTATAAATTAAAGATATGTGACACGTTATCATAACGTAAGTTTTCTTTGAAAGATAAAATGAAGCTGAAAAACCTGTTGTAACGTGACCTAAAGTTAAAATTACATTGTTCGGCCCAATGTTTTTACAACATAAATCCCTTGTATCTATCCCATTTGTATTAACTTTTTATCATGTCTAATTTATATTCTTTGTTAAATGAAAATAGATTTTATATTCTTTTTTTATAACCCTTGTATTTTATTATAACATAAAAATAACTAAGTTGTATTTTAATAATAATGATAATAATTATTTACTTAAAATAAAAATGTTGAGTTTAAGTTATTATTAAAAAATTTAATTTAAAATATTTTAATTTTAAAATTAAATTAAAACTATGGAGTAAATTGAACACTATACGTTTAAAATTATACGTGCAATTCAGATTGTAAAGAAGGAAAAATTTTCATAAGATTTAAAAAGTCAATTTTTTATTGATACAACGATATATAATTGAATAACAAAATAACAGTACTTAAATCAATTCTTAGTATATTTCAATTAAATTATAATATAAAATATTAAAACAATTCTTAGTATATTTGAAATAATGTGGTTTAGTAAAAAATAATTAATTGAAAAAAAACGTTTATATTTAAAAAAATTAATGGCGTTATGTTGAAGTTACGTTAATCATGTTTTAAAATATTGACCACTTTTTCAAGTCTTATTATTTATTAATATATAATAACGGTAATATAAGTCCGGTTAAAACACCTCTTTACAAAAATTATATTAATTATGTTTTTTTTTCAAAAATAATGTATTTATTTAGTATATCTCCATTTATCTCTAGACAAATTCTATTTAGTATTTCAGAAAAAGAATATTATTAGTTTTTTATTAAAGAATTAAAAATAAAAAGTTTTAATTAAAAAATATCACTAAATCTGTTATATTTCGTTTTTTAATTGTGAATTCCGATTTTTTTTTGAATTATTTAACTGAAAACATTTATATGAGTCTAAATATTACAGTATTACACAAGCTTTTATTTTATGTTTTTCCATGGTTTTCCTTAATGGTATGAAATAATAGTATTGCAGCGAGAATAGAAATGTCAATATTTGTTAAAATTTAAGGTTGCTATAACTATTTACCAAAATTATGTGTCATTCATTATGTATATAAAAAACAAATGCAAATAGTTCGGCATAATTAAAAAAAAATCTATAAATTAAAATGAATAACAGGCCAATGGGTTATGCATATTTTTTAAAAATAATTTTTTATTTAATAAATAACTAAATTTATACTTTATGTTATTTTACAAGTGATTTTTGGATTTTTCTTTTTTTATATAATCTTAAAATAATTTATTCGCATCACTAAAAGTTAAATTTGTAACGACCCTAAAAATCGTTATTATAATTATATTTTCACAAAATAATAAATAAGTAAATAACATTTATATTACATTATATTACTCTAATTGTAATATATACTTGCGGAACTTCAAAACATAGTAACACAATTTATTTATATAGATACATGTAAAAGTAGCTCTCACAAAGCTACCCATTGAACTATCTCTAGTGTCCAGTAGTCACATCTTCACCTCTCAACTCCCGATCTGCTCCCACGTAAAAGTGATCATCACAATCTCATCCACATGAAAAAATAGGGGTAAATATTAAATCATTCGATAATAAAACAAATATATAGGAGTAATAATTACATATTATCATCAATTACAAATTATCAATACACTAAGACGTCTTCCAGAAGTCTACCCTAACTATGTCCAAACTCAGAGACTATCATTTGTGGGCACATTGTGATCGGTACCCGCAGTACCATTTTGACCACCCTCCACACAGAGTAGGATTACTGGCGCCCTTCATCACTCATACTGGAATACCCCTCCGAGCGCGCCACCAGTCATCCTCCATCGACTTCTCACCACCTGATCTCGTAGTCTACCTGACCCGACCAATCAGTGAAGTCTGGGACCTCATTTAGAATCTTCTGACATAGTTATTACACTAATGTACTTTGTACCTGTGCGTATGCCTTATTTTAATATTATATTAATATTACTGTGCAAGAAAACTTCGTAACGAAGTTTTCCTCATGCACAGTAAAATTTTTCTTATATATGAATACTGAAGCGGGGGAGGAGGGGAATCAAAATTTTCCTCTCATCCTTCTTCTTCTATTGTCTAAATTTCAAGCAACGAGACTCTACTCGTGCAGGATCTGGTGAAACGGGAGAGAACTTGAATTAAGTAGGAAAGCTTCGGTAGAAATACCATACCAAGTAAGGGGAAGTTTAATTCATTCAATATATGAAATTGAATTGCTGGGTACTCTGTGAATAAGGAATAGGAGTAGAGATATGAATTATTGGAATGTCTGATTTTGAAGAATGTCTAATTTTGAAGAATTTCTAATTTTGATGAATTGTTCACCGTTTGAAAGTTTTTTTGAAATTCTTGAAATTAAGGATGAATTATATACTAAAATTGTTGTTTTAACTTAAATTGAACATGTTTATGGTTAAATTTTGATTTGGAACTAATTTGGGTGATTGAAACTGAGAAATTTGAAATCTGGATTTTGAAAATGGCGGACTGGAAAATCTGCAAAATTCGCTCAAGCGAAAAACACGTCGCTTGAGCGAGAATACCTGGAAAATTTGGGATTCTCGGGTCCTTTATCGCTCAAGCGACCGGTGTACTTGCTTGAGTGACGAAGTCTTCAAACAAAGGTGACTCTCCGGTCATGTCTCGCTCAAGCGACCGGTGTACTCGCTTGAGCGACGAAACCTCAAACAAAGGGGACTCTCGGGTCATTTCTTGCTCAAGCGACCGGTGTACTCGCTTGAGCGACGAAGCCTTCAAACAAAGGGGACTCTCGGGTTTCATCTCACTCAAGCGACCGGTGTACTCGCTTAAGCGAGCGAAGGAAGAAGAAAGGGATATGGTGGGGATTTTTTAAAAGATCAAGGGCAAAATAGTAATTTAATGATTTTAGAAAAAAAAAATATATATATATATATATAAAGAGAGAGAGAATGAAAGTAGAGTGTTGTGACGTGTGTGGGTCGACTAAGCTCGAGAGCCGATGCCCGAATCGGTCCCGAGACATTATATATTGGCTAGGCTGAGCCGAAGGTTGGTGTCGAGAATCGATCAAATACTAATTTATTGACCCGAATGAGCCGTGAGGACAGGTGGTCAGAATCCGGCAAATGTGAATAAATTTTGTATGTTTGAATGGTACCGGGGTGGTACGAGTACATTAGTGTAATAACTATGTCGGAGGATTCCGAATGAGGTCCCAGCACTTCACCGATTGGTCGGGTCGGGTAGGCTACGAGATCGAGGTGGTGAGAAGTCGATGGGGGGATGACTGGTGGCGCGCTCGGAGGGTACTCCAAGTATGAGTGATGAAGGGCGCCAGTAATCCTACTCTGTGTGGAGGGTGGTCAGAATGGTACTGCGGGTACCGATCACAATGTGCCCACAAATGATAGCCTCTGAGTTCGGGCATAGTTAGGGTATACTTCCGGAAGGTGTCTTAGTGTGTTGATAATTTCGTAATTGATCATAATATATAATTCTATATCTGTTTTATTATATCGAATGATTTAATACTTACCCCTATTTTTCCATGTGGATGGGACTACGATGATCACTTTTATGTGGGAGCAGATCAGGAGTTGAGAGATGGTGATGGGACTACTGGACAACAGGGATAGTTCAGTGAGATAGCTTCGAGGGAGCTACTCTTACATGTATAATATATAAATAAATTATGTTACTATATTTTGAAGTTCTGTTAGTGAACTGGAATTTCAATATATGTTACAAATACAGTAATATAATGTAAAATAAATATTGTTATTTACTTGTTTACTACTTTGCGAAGACATCATTATAGTAGCGATTTCTAGGGTCATTACAATACCACCTTGGTACCATTCAAACACAACAAAAATATTCACATATGTCGGATTCTGGACCACCTATCCTCACGATTCATTCGGGTCAATAAATAAAAGTATTTGACTGATTTTGGGTATCAACCCTCCGGTTCAGTCTAGCCAATACATAACATCTCATGGCCGATTCTGGGCATCAACCCTTAAACTCAGTCCGACTCACACACGTCGAACACAATGTTGAATCTTTAAAATTTCTAATTTCATTTTATATTTTAATTATTTTTCTTAACATACCTTTACTTTATTTCTAAAATTCCAATTATACCTTTAAATATTTTCTATTATTCCTTTTTCATCCCGAAATTATTAAATTACTCTTTTGCCCTTACTTTTTTCTTAAAATTCCATGTATGTCCCTAAATGACTATTTTACCCTAGGATATTTTCGAAAATTCTTTCCATATCTCAAAAAGGACTATTTTACCCTTGGATATTTTTAAAAATTCCATTTATGTCCCTAGGATGCAAAATGACTATTTTACCCTTGATCTTTTTTTAAAATCCCCACCATATCCCTTTCTTCTTCCTCCGCCCAGTAACCATGCTAGATTTTTCCAGATTTCTAATTTCCAAGTTTCAGGCAACCAAACTAGTTACAAATCAAAATAAAACATGAAATATGTTCAATTTAAGTCAAAAACAACAATTTTATCATATAATTCATCTTTAATTTCAAGAATTTCAAAACTTTCAAACCAATAACAGTCATCAAAATCTGAAATTCTTTAAAATCAGAAATTCAAATAATTCACATTTCTACTCCTATTCCTTATTCACAGAGTATCCAGCAGTTCAGTTTCATATATTGAATGAATAAAATTTTCTCTTACCTGGTGTGATATTTTTATCGAAGTTTTTCCACTTAATTCAAGTTCTTTCTCCCGTTTCATAGGATCCTGCACGAGTAGAGTATCGTTTGTTTGAAATTTAGACGAAAGAAGAAGAAGGATGAGAGGGAGAATCAATTGTTACTGTCATTCCTTCCCCCTTCGTACATATATAAAGAATTGGCGTGCGTAAGAAACTTCACTACGAAGTTTTTGCACAGTAATATTATTATATATATATATATATATATATATATATATATATATATATATATATATATATATATATATATATATATATATATAACATACCTCACAAAATTAATCTCTAACTAATGACATATAAAACATAAGTTTATGTGATATTTGTCTAGATTAAGTTTATAATAAGACAAGTAGTAAGTTACAGTAATAATTAAGTTTTTTTAAAAAGAATTTTAGAGTTATTTGGGATAAAAAAATTAATAATAATATTAATTTTTTTTTCCTTTTTACAAATGCTTTCAAAATTTAACATCATATAAATATTAATTTTTTAAAATAGATTTAAATTTTAAAAAATAATTTTAAATTAGAAATCAGTTTTAAAATCTATTTTTTTTAAATCGGTATCGTAAAAAATAGTTTAATAATTTCAAAATTTATTTAAACACAAATTATATATATTAACTAACTATACCTTTTACTAGTTACCATCATATTTAATTATTAATATGATTGTTATTATTAAACAAACTTTATCTTTTTTTAATCTTTATATTAAAAGTATATCTTTTAGTTTTTATATATATTATAATTATATTTTTAAACTTAAACTAGTATATAAAAGACTTAAAAAATTAAATTGAAATATAAATGAAAATAAATAATTAAGTAAAAAAACTAAAAATATAAAATTGGACAGACTGTAAGAGTGATTGAATCTTAATATCACAGCATTAATGTGATATAACTACTTTGTTTAAAGAAAACAAACCCACTAATAACAAACTAAAATCATGTATTGCATGTGTTACCCATGTATAAAATTTTTATTATCCATTCACTAAAAGTTGGCACGCATCATTCGTGTCAAATTCGCAAACACGCTGGTCCCGCACACGCACACACGACACGAGCGAAAACCCAACCTCGTGAGACGCATCTCGATTCTCGCATGCTTCACTTGCTCGCACGCTCGTTCATCCCTAACCGGCCGGACCTCTTACCTTTCGCGCCGCCGGGCACTTGCGGCCGCCGTATTTTCTTTGCCTGACCTCTTTCCTCTCAGATTCTTCTCCTTCTCCGTCGATCTCGCCGGACCTCCGCGCCGGTCGCCGGGAATTGCGGTGCCAGACGGAATTCTGAAAATTTCGGCGACGAAAAGATGGATCTGCTGGATAAGTTGTCTTGATTTCGATTTGAAAGGTAACTGTGTGGTAAAGTGTTGAATTAAGACTCATTTTTCGATTTTTCTCCCCTGTTATAGTTTTGGATGAGTAAATATGTGGTGCTAAGAAATTAAATGGGGTGAGTTGGGTGTAACTACGTGATTTCCATTGTAAACTGGTTCTAGATTTATTTATTTTAAATTATTGAAATGATGGTTTAAAACCAACTAGGATTCTATCTAGCGAAGAGAGCTAGTCCTTTACACCATGATAAACCAAGGTTCAAATCTTTCTCTGGGGCGGTTTTCACATTCAGTGTCTGATCGTGCATTGTCTCTAATGGAGGAAACCTGTGGGAACAAAAAAAGTGATTTAAAATGATTAAGGGGAAGAGAAAGTTGTAGTGACTTAAGTTTTAAATTATTAGGAAAATGACTTAACTGTTACTTGTTTAGTGCAGTTTTGTGGAATTCCTGATGACATGGGTTTTTTGGTTTGAAATGGAGTCTGTTCATAAATTTGATGGCGCTGGCAATCAACAGAATCAGTAGGATAGTTTTTAATTAAATTGAACAGTTGAGGGTTCAGACTTGGGATTATGGCCACTGATATGCAGAGACTTGTTGGAACGAGTGAGGATGATGAAGAAATTGGAATGGATGTGAAAGATGAGGATGATGAGGATGATGATTATGAGGAAAATGGAGGTGAGCAGGGAAATGCTTCAGGGATGGTGGAGATTGATGGTGGGAACGAGATAAGAACTGCCAGTGGTGACAACAGATTTCAGCAGCATCAGCAGTTTCATGAACAAGTAGGCACCCCAGGTGGAGGTACTCGAAGATCTAGGCCGGTGGAAGAGAAAGAGAGAACAAAGCTAAGAGAGAGGCGCCGGAGGGCAATCACTGCAAGGATCTTGGCAGGGCTTCGCAGGCATGGGAACTACAATCTAAGAGTGAGGGCTGACATAAATGATGTCATTGCTGCACTAGCAAGGGAAGCTGGATGGGTGGTTCTTCCAGATGGTACTACTTTTCCCTCAAAATCTCAGGTAATTTATCTGGCAAGACGTAAGTTGGACTTTTTTCTTTCTGAAACTCAATCTTTAGTTAAATTTTGTGACGCTTGGTCTTCATCTGCTGACATCATATGTGGTTTCCCCATGTGTGGGAAGAATATGGCTTGATCATTCTGTTTTTTTGTTACCCCTGTTGTTTCCCTTTGAAAATTCCTTATCATCATTTGTTTTAAGGACTCTATTGTTGAAAAAATATATATATTTTATCTGCAATGTATACATAGACACATGGTACTTCTTGTGTAGTTGAGTTCTTGGCTTAGTCAAGTTAAAATATTTTATATTTAAATGTCTTATTATCGTTGTGCATCTGCAAATTTCAGTTCTGACAAATCTCAGAAAAACTCCCACATTGGAACCTTTTCCAGGGTCAAAAGCCAGCTGGTGGTAATTCTACAATTGTAACTTCATCATCCTCCCATGTGGCTTCACAACAAATTCCACCTGCTTCTCTTAGGGGAGTTGCTTCTGGCTATAGGAGCCCTTTAGAGTATAGTGCATGTCAATCAAAAGGTGTTTTTATGCCAACTCCTTCTCCTTATGATCTATCCTCAACTTCCCGATCTCAAACATCTATTGGGGGGGATGGAGAAGCACAAAGAGACAATCATCCTCTGATTGGTGGTTCAATGGGTAATGCTGATGAGAAGCAGGTAATGCAGTCATGTGGCCAACATATTGATTTTTTTTTCTAGAATAAAGTTAGTCTTGCTGTTGTGACTGGTGATAGGCTGATAGCATGAACTGGTGTCTATGTGATTATTATTGCTATATTAGTGCCAGTTCACTATTCCTGTATGTATAGAAGCACAACATCTTACAAGTAAAAAATAAGAAGTAAAAGAATAAACACAGTAGTGGTATAAGTCTGGAGCATAACTGTTTGTTGAGCTGGATAGGAATAGTGGATGGTGCAACACAGTTGACGGGAATCAGCATATACAAGGGAAGGGTAGATAGTGCAAGGTAGGCATGAATTAAGAGAAATGGGGGAAAGGGTTTAGTCTGGTTCAGTGGATGCACAGAACTCTTGACTTGTCTATTATTTTCTACATTTTTTGTTAGTGTAAAGAGCTAGCCATATTGTTTTTGTCAGTAAACGTCAGTATAATGAAAACTTGGAAAGAACCCATAATTATCCAAAAGGCCATATTCATTCTTTGTATTTTGCATGTATTATTTCAGTATGGTGCCTTGGGAAGGTAAATATCTTTGCATTTTTTATACCTTTTTCTCCTTTGCAGATTGCTGACTTGCCCCCCAGATTGTCAGAGCGTGATATGGCTGGTACTCCATATGTTCCAGTTTATGTGATGCTACCGGTAAGTTATTACTTTATTCTTATTTTTCACTAATTTATTGAACTTCTGCTTCTTTAATATGCTTGTAGTGAGTTCTTCTTAATATATGGTCATTCTTAGTAAGAAAAAAAAATGTAATTTCCTTTGGAAATGATCCGTGAATATAAATATAACATTATATTGGATTCTGTCTATATTTTTGACAGTTAGGGGTGATCAATATAAAATGTGAGCTTGTTGATCCTGATGGTCTACTAAAGCAGCTGAGGGTGTTGAAATCAGTACATGTTGATGGTGTTATGGTAGATTGTTGGTGGGGAATAGTGGAGGCACATGCTCCACAGGAGTATAATTGGAATGGTTACAAGAGACTCTTTCAAATGGTGCGAGAGATTAAGCTTAAGCTGCAGGTGAGTTTCATAAGTTTAACCATTGAGTGCTTTCTTGCTTATTCAATCTGCCTTAGGTGGTGGTGATTTGTCCTTTGACACTTGGCCAGGTTGTGATGTCATTTCACGAATGTGGAGGGAATGTTGGTGATGATGTTTGTATTCCATTGCCCCATTGGGTAGCTGAAATTGGTAGGAGCAATCCTGACATTTTTTTCACTGATAGAGAGGGAAGACACAACCCTGAATGTCTTTCTTGGGGAATAGATAAGGAACGAGTTTTAAGAGGTCGTACTGCTGTGGAGGTAATGATGACAGCAATACCTGTGTTAGATGGTTAATTTCTTAATTTTAAATCATTCTTCTTCCAACAAATCCATTTGAATTATATATCAGATGCTTTTAGGGGCGTTGGAGCAAGTTTCCATTTTATGCATGATTGATGAAATTAAACATGTACTTTGTAGGTTTACTTTGATTTCATGAGAAGTTTCCGGGTAGAGTTTGATGAGTATTTTGATGATGGTTTAATCTCCATGATTGAAATTGGGCTGGGTCCATGTGGAGAGTTAAGATACCCATCTTGTCCTGTAAAGCATGGTTGGAGATATCCCGGTATCGGTGAATTCCAGGTAATTAAGTGTATCTTAGTTATCTCTGTCAATTTAAGATTCTGTTTTCCATTGCAAATGCTTCCTTGCAATTTTTTTTTTTCATATACTAGTTTAAGCAAGAAAATTAATATTCTGTTGAGCCAAAAAGTTAAAATGAAAATATACCTTTTACATAAGCTTTTAATAGCTCAAAAGAAATTTGTTCTGTTCAGCTGTTCTATTTGTCATCTTTTTCTTTTGTGCTGTGTTCAATTGATAATTGTTTTAGGATAAGGGTCTTCATTCAACCTCTATTGATATATGTGTACAACTCTAGTTTGTTGGTGTTAGACATTGGATAATACCAGAATACAAGAAAGTTAAACTTAAAAAAGGTGAATATTAAATGTTTGATTCCACATATAATATTCTTCATACAGTATAGCATGTGTATCATTCTGACTGTCTTGTCTTCTTCACTTCTTGTTGGCCTTGGTTGATATCTTCGTGCTTGTGCATATATATGCCTTGGATCTCTTTTTAACCACTTTGCTCATCATCCTTCCATCTTGGGTATAGTGCTATGATCAGTATATGTTGAAGAGTCTTAGGAAAGCAGCAGAAGCAAGAGGTCACGCTATTTGGGCTAGAGGACCAGATAATGCTGCTACCTACAATTCTCAGCCACATGAAACAGGTTTCTTTTGTGATGGGGGTGATTATGATGGCTTCTATGGCAGGTTTTTTCTTAGCTGGTACTCTCAGGTTTTAGTTGATCATGGAAACCGGGTACTTTCTCTGGCAAAATTAGCTTTTGAGGGATCTTGCATTACTGCAAAGGTAAGTTAATACAAAATAAATGTAATTTGAAGAAATTTTTGTACACCAAATCCTGAAGAAAGCATATTTGATTCTTTTCTGCCTCCGAACCTACTGTTTTTTCTTAGTACATAAGGAATTGAATAATTGATCTGTTCTTCTCTTGTATATGTGGTGTTAATCTTCAATGCATTTAAGCATCAGAAATTGTTTTCATCTCAAAATATATCTGAAAAATATTGCTTTCATAAAATAACTCTTCTCAGGACCAACACTATCCTAAATTTATGTAATGTGTGTTGATGGATCCTTCAATACATTTAAGCATCAGAACTTGTTTTCATCTCAAAATATATCTGAAAAATATTGCTTTCATAAAATAACGCTTCTCATAACCAACACTATCCTAAATTTATGTAATGTGTGTTGATGAATCCTTCAGTATGTGATGCTTAGTACAGACCAAGGAATCATCTTTTGTAAACTGATCCCTGATATTGCTAAGTAATAATTTTTCATCCACAAAAAGGAACAACAGCCTTGTCTGCACCTTCCTTAACGAATTATAAGGGAAAAAAATCATTTTTATAAATTAATGCTACATGTGTTGTGGCCTAACCCATTTCAAGAAAATATTCTGGAAAACAAATTCTTAAAAAAAAAATACTGACCAATCCACATAATGTGATTGTTCCTGAAAATTGCTTTTTCTTAATGTAAAAGATTTGACTTGAGTTCTTCGGATTGAGTTGTCTACTACTGACCAAGGAAGTATTCTTTTCAGACTGATATTCATTAGTAGTAACACACTATTATCCATAACAACAAAAAATATATATTTTCTGCACCAAGCCCCAAAAAATGAGAAGAAAAGAAAACCTTTCCATAATGCTAATTTAATGCTTATCTATTTGGCTAAGAGTTATACATTTGTTGGTATATTTTTTAGTTATCTTGTGTCTGTTTTACCCATTTACAGTCTGATATATTTTAAGTTCTATTCAGTTATCGGGTATTTACTGGTGGTACAAGACTGCAAGTCATGCTGCTGAATTAACTGCTGGGTACTATAACCCATGCAATCGTGATGGGTATGCTGCAATTATGACAATGTTAAAGATAAATGGAGTTAGCTTAAACATTCCTTGTGTTGACTTGCACACACTAAACCAACACGAGGGCTTTCCAGTGACATTTGCAGATCCTGAGGGATTAGTCTGGCAAGTATGTGTCTAATCCTTGCCAAACTTTATGTTGTTATCTGGTTAGTGTCCTTAAGCAATTTCATTGGGAAGGATTTGTTGGAATATTTATGTTTGTTAGTCTAATATAAAAAGAATGATTTACACTAAATATTGTTTTAAAATTAAAGCCAATTAGTCTAATGCGCACACCTTATTGGCTGGTGGTGTATTACAGGTGTTGAATGCAGGTTGGGATGTTGACCTACCAGTCACCAGTCAGAATGGATTCTCTTGCCTAAACAGAGTAAGCTATAACAAGGTTTTGGATCATGCCAAGCCCATGAATGATCCAGATGGAAGGCACTTTTCATCCTTTACTTACCTGAGGCTTGGTTCACTACTTATGGAACGACAAAACTTGGTAGAGTTTGAACGATTTGTCAAAAGGATGCATGGTAAGTTGATGACAAAAATTTCAAATGTTTATTTAGCCTCTAATTGATATATGGAAATGCTGAGTAAAGAAAAAAATTTATCCCTTTATCTGACCTTGATTGAATGAAAGCTCATCTGTCATTTGGAAACTTTCTACTGCATAGGGTAGGTAGTGTAATTAGCGAAAACTGGAATACCCAAATTTGTTTCATAGGCATATTTCAGTAACTGATAGTTTTGTGTTGAACTCTGTATGTCATTATTTGCTCTCATTGACATAATATCAGTTATCAGAACACTGGCACTTTAAGGATCTGCAAAGTTGTTGATCTCTTTTGGGACATTGATTATATTAAGATTGATGACTTTGTCATTTCTCGTTTCAGGGGAAGCTGTTCTTGATCTTCAGGTATAACCCATGAAAAATAGAATTTGTATTTATACCCCTGACAAAATGGTTGGGGTATTCTGCTACATAATAGGAGACATAGGATTGTTATTTGCTGCGGCACATATTTGTTAGTCATGTAGTTCGACTAGGATGAGCTTTGGTCCTTATCTTCTTTTTTTTTTATCAAACAACTCATATTTATCCACACATGTGCAACTCATTAACCTTATTGGCCAATGTATGTACAGTAAATTGGTTGGAGCAGATGGTGCTACAATTTTTCAAATCCAATAGCATAGCTCATATGAACTGCTTAAGTCTGTCTCACGCAGCTCTCTACTTTTTTCAGTTTCAATGTTGAAGAAATGTGTGTAATTGTCAGATTCCCACAGTATTATCGCATTCAAAGAAATCGCAGCTACTGTTGTATACCAAAATTTTAACATAATATAATCAGAATACTGAAGTGAAGAAGTTGTTTTGCATTTCTTGTCGGGCTTGGACATAAGTTAATATATTATAATTACATTAATGATATAAATTTATTCATTAAATTTATCTTAAACATTACATTTAAACATAAATTGTATTTTGAAGTATAATTGTGTAACACATCAAATAATTTCTATACAAACATCATAGGTAAGAAACATTCAATAATGCCGTAAAAGGACATGATTATAAATTACTATACGTCACCTAATCCTTCCTCAAGGTACTCTATTTTGAATCAAGTTGTTTATAGATGCCATATTTCCATTTCAGATAATAAGAAAAGAAAGTTTGGACTCGGTAATTTAATTTGATCTCAATTAATATTTAAACACAATTAAACAATAATATAAGTTTTTTTTTACGCCTTTAATAACTTGGCCAATTTTAAAAAGAAAAGAAAAACGGAAAAAACGTGCCAATCTAAAACTAATAATGGCAACACTAATAACAGTGTAATAGAAAAAGAATAGTAATTGGGACTTTAGGTTGGTAGAAAAACACAATTCAGTACTCCCACAATTCCGATATAGAGTGTACTTACATTCATAATAAAAAACTAGAGTATAATTGCGCTTTTCTTTCTTTTGTTTGCACAGAAAAGAATAAGAAGGAAAAGAGATTTTTTTTTTTTCTTATATCCTCCATATTAGATAGTAAGTCATAATTTAAAAAAAAAAAACATTGAACAGATTGGTGGACTTCGACCGGAGTTTCTATCGTTCAAAAATCTCGAGTCCACGCTTTCACTCTGTAGTGCTACACACTAGATCATAGGAGCTGTTTATTTCGTCCATTACAGTGCTCGAAACCGTTCAATTCAATCACTGGAATGGCGCAGGAAGAAGGTGAGTGAACCTTATGCTGTTTTGATGCCGAGAATATGTCTCATTCGGTGTTTTGTCTGCAACTGTAACCAAACAGGAGAGGATCAGGAACTGATGATTTTTAATTTTACTTTTATTTATTTTCAGTTTAATGCTTCCGAGTTTCTGTTGCGGTCTTTAAGTTTGATTTTGTTTATTTGATATTGTTGCAGTGTTCGAGTTCCTCGGGAACGTTCCTCTGCTACAGAGGCTTCCTGGCTCATCTGTACGGAAGATATCGGAGCTTGTGGTTCCCAAATATTATGGTAGTAGGATTTCGATTTTGAGGATTTGATCTCTTGTGTTATTGAATTGGATTTTGTGCGGTGAATTGGGCGGAAATATGTTTAAAGATATGCTCACATGATAGTAGCTTCATTATTATTATTATTATTATTATCAAACTTAGTTATGTTATAGTCCTGAAATTTGGAATAATCTGTTTTTGTCTCCAAAATTGAATAATACGATCATTTTAATCTCTCAAATATAAAAAATAAGTTTTTAGTTCGGTATCTTAACGGCGTTAACAGAAATCTGAAATGGTAACCTATTTTTAACATTTGATGGACTAAAATGATTATTTTAATTTTAATTTGGGAACCAAAAATGAATCTTCAATTTCGGTAACTAAATAACATAGTTATGTCTTATGATTATTTTTTTATTATTATGTTTAGAGAATTAGAGTGGTTTGGAACATTTATAGTTTGGAGAATTTCGAAGATTAATTGGAATTGCTGTTTCATTTATGGAAGGATGCTTGATGAACTAGTATAATCATTAACGCTTTCAATTCGTTGATGATGAATTGTTATGCAGAGCCGAGAGAATATGTTGTTCGTGAGGGAGAACGTGGGGATGGTCTTTACTTCATCTGGGAGGGAGAGGTATGCTCACTTTTCATGTTATATTTCAGAGTTGAAAGTTGTGTACACAATGGTCATTGGATCAGTTGAAGTGATGTAGATGAAGCTCTACAGATTTTGTTTATGCAACTTCAAAACTTCAGTTTTGTGCCTAACGTTCAGTTTCCTGGCTTGCAGGCTGAGGTTCTTTGCTCTGTTAGTGCTGATGAAGATGATCATCCAGAGTTTCATTTGAAAAGATATGACTATTTTGGTTTTGGTAATAAACTTTATTCTTATGTAGCTATGCTTCAAGACTGCTGTTTATCGTTTAAGTGTTTTACTATCTCCCTAAAAGGTATAGTAGGCTTGTTAGGTCTAGGAGTTTGAGTCATCTTGATTTGGTTATTCTTAATTATATCTGTTATATTTTCCGGAAAATATCTCGTAATATTTTCATTGTTTCTTTGACAACGTAGAACATCTTAGATGATATCTTAGGAGTGGTTTCCTGATTCTGTTAGATTTCCTTATTAAATTAGGATTAAGAGCTTAGTAATAGCACAAATAAGGTTTTAGTGGTTCAAATTTTAACACATCCTTAAATGCAAGAAAATTAGTAAAATCTCCTTTCTATTAATGACAGCCTCTTTCTCTCCTCAACCTAAACCATTTAATCTTAACTTGGTATGTTATGACTCAGTGGTGAAGAGTTCTATCCTTGCCATGTCCATTCCTTGAAAAAGAATGACTTTAAGGATAAGGTAAGGTGAAACTGTGCATTGTTCATGTTTCATGTTTATTGGGCATTGGCTTGAGGGGAGTGTGTTACCAATATAAAAGCATTTATGTGTGTCGACTTGACCACATAAGCCTTGGGGATATTGGGTTTCAACATAGTATTGAAATGATACCAAATTAAGCAACCTATCCTATTTGCTGCCATCTCAGATTTATATTCCGCGGTCTGTTTCTCAGTCAATCAAACCATCACCATTTCTCTGACTGAAATAGTATTCAAGTTTCAATTCCACAGAAGTTGAGACATTCTTCTAATTGGTTGTGCATGTGTTACATTTGTAGCATACATGAGGGTGCATGATCTTTACAGTGATTGTCACCGCAAATTGTATTCTTTGGATGTCTTGGGACATATCCATCCCTATTGCCCCCCTTCACCATCTTCTTGTGGTTCTTTGGCTCCCTTGGACTAGTATTTTTGTGTTTAGTAATTAGGTTTGACATCTTCTGCTTCTCTCCATCAGGTTTAACGTGTCGATTTGACATTTACTTTTCTCCACCGGGTTGAACATGTATTTTGGCAATCTTTGTAGTGTTTATTATCTCCGGGTTCTATCCTTTATCTCCTTGCCTAGATGTTTATTCTTCCAACATCCTTATGTTGTTTTGTTACTTTTTTAAAATCATCATCTTTGCTCTATTCCCTTTCCGAGATTATACTTAGTTTTCCAATTCTGACTGCATTGAAGAGAAGAGTGAAATTGATAAAATTACATGTCTTCCTGATTATTCTGACAAACCTTTTACTGATTAGTATGTATTCCTGTAAGCAACCATTTTCGTATTCCACCAACAATCATACTTGTACTGACTTCTTGTCATGTGGATGATCTTTTTTGGTGGTGACTATTTGTTCTCGTAAGTTTTCTTGCAGTTTGACGTATTATATTTTAACACACCATAATATACACAATTCCTATACTTGATGAGCTTGTAGAAGAAGTTTTTGCTCTTGTTTTATAATTGCTTACCAGGAAATTTTTGTTGATGTTCATGCTGGCAAAATCTCTTCTCTATTGTTCACACAACACTCTGACCCACTGTTTTAGGGTGATTATCATTCCAACGATTTTTCAGAGATGCTTATCACTCTTGTTGGGAAGTCATATATCACCTATCTTAATTTTTGGAGTGCGGCTTATATATTTGTTGGGAAATTTCATATATCATCTACCTTAATTCTTGGAGTGTAGCTTATATATTTTGTTAGAAACTTAATGACAATTGATTTTAAGATTAAATCTGACAGCCCTAGCATCTCTTGCATCCTTGGATTATCTCTCGGGCATTTTATTTGGAGCCTGTTTTATGTTTGTGTTATTTTTCTATTTTCAAATTCTTCCTTTATGACAAGTTTAAAGCTTAGTCTTAGCTTGAGCGAGAGTTTTAGACTATTTAGAAAATATCTCAAAATATCTTTATTGCATCGTACCATATTTTAGGGTATCTAAGATGATCTTTTAAGAGTGGCTTCTAGATTTTATTATATTTCCAGACTTGCTTACTTTTTAATTAAGATGAGGAGTTCAGAACTAGTATAAATAGATTTAATGTTTTTGTAATTTACACATACAAAAACGAATATAATTACAAATCTCCTTCATCTTTTAGTTCATTCCTACTTATGATCTAAACCCTATAATTTCAATAATACTCTGCTGAAAAAACAACAATTAGGTTTAATTTTGTGATCAAATAAATGTGGTTTGACTGCCCTGATAAGCATACATCTTATTTGATAATTTTGTGAATAAGCATTTCGTATTGGGTTATCATGTTACATTAAGGGCAGCGAGTGATATTATTGCTCTATATAATTACAGAAGACTAATGTGAATTCACAACTTGTAGGTTTATCAAATGAAGTTCATCATGCTGATGTCATAGCTTTGACGAAGGTGCCATCTGGTTTCTTTCTATTGCTTTCCAATGTCAACATGATTTGTAAACAAACTCTTTTTTATCCTATAGAAACTGTTTATGTTGATGTGACAGCTATCATGCTTAGTGCTGCCCCATAAGCATTCAGCATTGCTTCAACCAAAGTCTATCTGGAGCGCAGAAAAATCTATTGATACATGCTCACCTGTGGAGCACATATTGCATTTGGAACCTATAGAGGTACCCATATATAGTATATAATATAATAGTAGACTGAGAAGGAAAAGGAAAGTAGTCAAACATGGTTGTCCTGGTTTATCTTTGATTTTAAGTAGGCTTTATTTTGTATGGTTCATCCTTATATCATTCTGTTCTTTCTCTTTGAAGGTAGATATTTTCCGAGGAATCACTCCTCCAGATGCTCCAAAATTTGGTAAAGTATTTGGTGGGCAAATAGTTGGTCAGGTATGAAACACCCTTTATGTTATGTTAGTACAGCATTCTACTCAAGTCAGCATCAGTTTCTAGGAAATGATTGCTTACAATATAATGTATAATTTACAGGCACTGGCTGCAGCATCAAAATCTGTTGATTGTCTTAAAGTTGTTCATAGCTTGCATGTTTATTTTCTTCTTGTGGGTGATTTTAACAGTAAGTGCGCTTAATCTGAACTTCCTTGACAATACTTTGATGTAGCACCTTCAATACTCTGACGTAGATCCTTTATTTGTTTCTTTCTACCATTTTCCCTTACTTGAATGATTCATTTTCTTTTCTTGGTCCATCTGCTACGCTGCTGCATTGTTTTGTAGAAGAACCTTTTCTTCTAATTTTGTTATGATTTACATTTGTAAATGGCAGCAACTTTTTTAACATGACTTTTTTCTTGTTGACAAATCATACTGACTTTTCAATGTTTTCATCACCAGTTTTTCTTTACTATTGTGCATGTTTATATTGGTTGGATAGGTTGTACTGCATATTTTTGCTTAAATGGAAGTAAGTGATTTGAACTTCTTTATGGATAGCTAAACTCAACACTGTCAAGTAACTTCAATGTTTTATTCCAACAATTGCAGGTTGTGAATAGTTCTTGAGTTAGGTTTGTGTTGACTTTCTATTGTCTTCTAATAAAGTTTCTATTGTCTAAGACGACAAATCATATTTAAGTAAATTATGTAGTGAATGTTGTGCTTTAAGGAGGTTAAAGAGTAAAAAAGTGGGAGCATAAAATGAGTTGTGTTATGATGGATGTGAAGCTACACAAGAAATGACATAACACGGAATAATTGTATATTGGTGTAACTCTTTTAGGACTGAAGCACTCTATCGGTATTGACCAGATAATAGCCCTTTTCTCCTTGAAATGGTGTCACTCATCTATCAATATTCAGTTAGCATCTGAATCTAGCCTATTCAATAGATTACCTATCAACGAAACCGCCAAATTTTTAGGATTTAAGCATAAGAGAAAAGTCAACTCAAAAGATTAATCCGTTAGGTGGGAGAGCCTCAAGGTTTAAGTACACATTAATTAGATCATACTACTCAATGTGGGACTCCTAAAGAGTTGGTTAAAGTGATTTAGGATTTAGACAGTACAAAGAAAGCCATTGGAGGTACCGACAAAGAATGGTCAAGGTGCAATTTAAACCTCAAGAGGAAGAAAGGACAAAGAAGTTAATGAAGAATTAGAATTTGAGAACCCTAAGTCTGAGAAACCGAAGAATTATTTAACTTTGAGGACTGTGGAAGAAAAGAAGAAGGATATGCCTCACTTGATAGGAAAAATGATTGTGTCGGGGTTCAGGAAGAACAAGAGAATTAGAAATTTAGGCCATTTATCTTTTGTTTGGTGTTGATTTATGTTTTTAGATCATTTTATCACTGTTTGAAGTCTTCAATTTGTTTTTTTTTTTTTTTGTTATCATTTTACTGTTATTTGAAAATTGCTATTATTGTTAGTTTTATGGCTGTTTTCTTATTATTTCTTCATCGCAATTTTATTTCAGCATTCTTTTGTATTTTCCAATATGTATGTATATATTGTATTTTTATTTTGTCTGCTATGCATTCTGTCATAAACCGCAATGCTATCTGCCATATTTCTAAGTGTTTTTTTAGCTTGCTGTTGATAACACTGGTGGTGTAAACTTTTGTCTTCCAGTACCCATTATATATCAAGTTAGCCGTCTGCGTGATGGGAAGAGTTTTGCTACAAGGAAAGTGGATGCAATTCAAAAGGGAAATGTCATATTCACTTTGCTTGCTTCATTTCATGTAATTCTCAATTCCACATTCTTTTTGACTTGGAACAAGATAAAATTTCAGTTTATTTAACTCTGAATCTGATTAAGTATGCTTTCTCTCTATTTTATACGTATATAGGTTTTAGTACTGTTAGGAGTAGGTACGTTGATACAATATTAACAATTAGTAAATGAGATGTAATCTAGCATTGGAAATATAATTTGAAGAATGTGAATTTATGATAAGTTTCCTTTTTCTAATATTGGTTTCTAATGATTACAAAATATAACTTGTATAATGTAACAGTCTTTATTTAAGCTGTTTTCATTTTGATTGACATATGTTCTTTCACCATATATGCTCTTGCTCTTGTCAAGTATTACTCTCTAAATTCTGAAAGCACATTAAACTTTGTTATCATTGTAATTCTACAGAAGGAGGAATTAGGGTTTCACCACCAGGAAGTGTCTATCCCATCAGTCCCTGCTCCAAATAAGGCAAGTGACTAGCTTATATTCATAAAAAGAGTTATGGATTTTAGGCTTTTACATTTTGTTCTCTGCTATAGCTTTTGTCGTTGGAAGAGCTTCGGGAGCTACGTCTTACTGACCCTCGCCTTCCAAGGTAATATCATGCTTGATGCTGCAGTTTTTTTATTTTACTTTTTATTTGGTTCAGCTCCTAAGAAGACTGTATGGAGATTTTCTATGCCATATAATGAAAAAAAAAAATTGTTGCTTCAGAACTTACCGGAACAAGGTTGCTTCAGTTGAATTCATTCCCTGGCCCATAGAGATACGGTTCTGTGAACCCAGAACATCAACAAATCAGACCAAATCTCCTCCTAGGTTAGCGTGATACTCTGCCATTTGTGCTTTCTTTTTTGCTGGTCTTTTAGCTACGTTGGTGACAGATTTGGAGAGACAAAGGAAAGGATTGGTGTACTATTCAGATACATTAATATTCAACCCTTTGCTTTAGTTTCTCTATAAATCATTTTTAAAGACTTGATGTCTGGGAATTTTAATGCTGCATATTATATATCTTACTAAAAATTTTGAATGCAGTTTGCGATACTGGTTTAGAGCAAGGGGAAAACTTTCAGATGATCAAGCCTTGCATAGGTACATAACTTATATTTACTGTTGGATATGTTCAATTCTTAGTACCTTTGTGAAATTGGCAAATGCATGAGTTAGGAGGACTTTTATTCATGTGCTAAGGCTTACATTCCTTTGATATAATTGGTTTCAATGGGAGGAGAGACATGGATGGAATTAATGACCTATTGTTCATAGTGTTTTTTTTTTTTTTTTGTATTGATTGATAGTTATAGTGGCTTTAATACACCATATCAAGACCAACTATTCCAAAAGCTTATTAACACTTTTTATAGTAAAGACTCTCCATTTTGAATATAGGGAAAAACTGTATAGGGTTAATTTCCCTTGTGTATAAACCACATATAGGGTAATTTATTTATAACAGAGAGATACAACTAAAAGAGTAATGAAAGTAAATAGAATAAACAGAAGATATTGTTTGATATTGTGGTTAATAATATCAAACAATATCTAACACTCCCCCTCAAGCTAGAGCATACAAATCGTATGTGTCAAGCTTGTTACAAATATAATCAATTTTAGGCCCCGTAAAGACTTAGTAAAAATATCTGTTTACTGATCACTTGAGTTAACAAACTCAGTCTTGATGTCTCCAGACATAATCCTTTCCCGAATGAAATGACAATCAATCTTCATGTATTTGGTCCTCTCATGAAAGACAGGATTAGAGTTAATATGAAGAGCAGCCTGATTGTCACACACAAGTGTCATTTGAGTGACATCTCTAAATTGTAACTCTCTAAGCAATTGCTTGAGCCAAACAAGTTCACAGGTAGCTGAGACCATAGCTCTATAGTTTGCTTTTGCATTGGATCTTGCTACAACACTTTGTTTCTTACTTTTCCACGAGATCAAATTACCATAAATGGAGACACAATACCCAGATGTAGATCTTCTATCAGAGGGAGATCCTGCCCAATCAGCATCTGAATAGCAAGCAACTTTTGTATGATTATTGGAACCATACAACAAATCTTTTTCAGGAGACCCTTTGATGTACTTTAATATACAGATGACTATATTCCAATGATCTTGACATGGAGAATTGAGGAATTGACTCACTACACTGACTGTAAAGGAAATGTCAGGACGAGTAACTGTAAAATAATTTAATTTTCCAACCAATCTTCTATACTGCTCAAGATCTGACATAGGCTTCCCCTAATTTGGCAGGAGTTTGATATTAGGATCCATGGGTGTGTCAATAGGCTTTGAATTCATCAATCCAGTTTTCTCCAAAATATCCAATGCATACTTTCTTGAGATATAACAGTGTTATCGGTAGATTGTGCCACCTCAATACCCAAGAAATATCTGAGTTTGTCAAGATCTTTGGTTTGAAAATAGTGGCAAAGGTGTTGTTTCATCTGGGAGATGCCATGGTGGTTTCTGCTTGTAAGAACAATGTCATCAACATACACTATCAAATAGACACATCCAACACTTGAGTGACGGTAAAAGACTGAGTAGTTTGCCTCACTTCTAGTCATGCCAAATTGTTGAACAACATTGCTAAATTTGTCAAACCAGGCTCTAGGAGACTATTTTAGACCATATAAAGATTTGCGAAGACGACGTACCAATCTAGAAGACTCCTCCTGAGCAACAAATCCCGGAAGTTGCTCCATATAAATTTCTTCTTGCAAATCTCCATTAAGAAAAACATTTTTGATATCCAGTTGATAAAGAGGTCATTGTTGAAGAGCAGTCATGGTGATAAATAAACGAACCGAAGCCATTTTTGTCATCGGAGAGAAAATATCACCATAATCCAATCCAAAAATTTGGGTATAGCCTTTAGCTACAAAACGAGCTTTGAAGCGATCAATAGTACAATCAGGACCAACTTTGATAGCAAAGACCCACATGTAACCAACAATAGATTTTTCAGATGGTAATGGGACGAGCTCCCAGGTTCCACTATTCTGAAGAACACTGAATTCATTTAGCGTGGCCTGACGCTAACCAGGGTGGGCTAAGGCTTCAGGGACAGATTTAAGAATAGACACAGAAGAGATAGACGAGAGGCAGGCATAAAAAGGTGAAGAAATTTTATGGTAACTCAAAGCAGTATAATGTGAAGAAGGATTATGAGTAGAACGCATACCTTTACGAAGGGCAACAGGAAGGTCAAACTCAATGGGCGGAGCCGGAGGAGACATAGTATTTGGCACTGGGAGTGAGTCATGTGGTGTTTGTTGTGGACGAGGTCTTCGACTATAAACCTGAAGGGGTGGTGGAGGAGGAGGGTCCAATGGTGGATTATGCTCAACAAGAGGATTAATTATAACAAGAATGTGAACAACAGGAGATGGAGACTCGTCAGGTAGAAGAGGAACCTTAAAGTAAAATGAAAACTAATTGAATGTGACATCTGTAGATACAAAATAGCGATTAAGAGAAGGAGAAAAATACTTGTATCCTTTTTGTGATCAAGTAAATCCTAAAAAAACATATTTGTGTGATTTAGGAGATAACTTATTATGACCAGGATCAAAATTGTGGACAAAACATGTGGACCTAAAAACCTTAAGAGACAAAGGATGGAGAGGATCACGAGGAAATAAAATAGAATGAGAAATTTTGTTATCTAAAACTGAAAATGGCATACAATTAATAAGATAACATGCAGTAAGAATAGCATCACCCCAAAAATGTTGAGGAACCGCACCATGAATTAAAAGAGTGCAAGTTGTTTTAATAAGGTGTCTATTCTTGCCCTTAGCCACCCCATTTTGTTGAGGTGTATAAGCACAGGAAGTTTGATGAAGAATGCCATGAGAAACCATAAATTGTTCAAAAGAGTTTGAAAGATATTCACAACCATTATTACTCCAGAAGGTTTGAATAGAAACATCAAATTGATTCTTAATTTCATTATAAAAGGTTTGGAATATGGAAAACAACTCAGAACGATTTTTCATTAAAAATAACCAAGTACATCGAGAGTAATCATCAATAAAATTAACAAAATATGGAAAACCTAAATTAGACTTAACACGACTTGGTCCCCAAATGTCAAAGTGAACTAAGGCAAATGGGGATGAAGCATGCTGGGAAACACTACGAGGAAAGGAATTACGACTATATTTCCCTAATTGACAGGACTCACACACCAAACTGGACAATTGGGATAAGCTGGGAACAAGTTGTTGTAATTTGGTCAAACTAGGGTGACCAAGTTGAGCATGAAGGAGAGAAGGAGACTCCATAACTGTGTCAACATGTGTAGAAGGTCGAAGATGATAAAGACCATGTGACTCACATTCGGTGCCAATCACATGTTTCGAACTCTGGTCCTGTAAACAAACAGAAGTTTTGGTAAAAGAGATAATTCAATCAAGAGAATGAGTTAGACGGCTAATGGATAATAAGTTAAAGGGGGACTCGGGTACATATAAAACATTATCAATGGATAAGAAAGGAAAAAGGTTAATCATTCCAACACCATAAGCTAAAGTTGTAGACCCATTAGTCATTGTAATAGAGGGTAAATTATGGGGAGAGGAGAAAGAGGAAAATAAGGATTTGTTACCAGTAATATGATTTGTGGCTCCTGAATCAAGAACCCAAGGGTCAATAGAAAAAGATTGAGTCAGACCAGCAAAAGATGTATCTGTGCATGCAACAGAAGCAATGGAACTAGAGGGCTTACGATCCTCATACCATTTAAGAAAATCATTGAATATGGCAGATTTGTCTGATGTCGGAGGAGTAGATAAAAGAGGATCCACAACAGATAATTGTGAGGAAGTATCAGTCTGAGAAATGGCAGCAGATCGAGAAGGACGACTAAGTAAAGCATAACATCTGTCAATTTTGTGGCCTAGCTTGCCACAATAGTCACATTTGTGACGTCCTTTGCCTGGCTTGTGAGAGTGATTACAATAATCACGTTGAGATGCCATAGTAAAGGAATCATTAGTAAAAACAGGGGATCATTGAGAGGTTTACATGGCACACACAGAAGGGAGGAACTCGTAGAAGTAAAATTGGGTGTAACAGGGGAACCCAAAATCTAGTCACGGACATGGGAATATTTATTAGCAAGTCCGTGTAATATTAAAACCATGAAAAACTTGGACCGTTGCTCTAATTCTTGGGCAGGAGTAGATGCAGGAGTTAATAACTCATTAAATTTATGGAGAAGAGCATGTATCTTACCCACATAATCTGCCGTAGGATCCTTATCCCGAGGAGCAATAACATCAAAATGGTTGTAACAAACACCATAAAGACGTTGAGTGTCATCTAACTTATCAATGGACAAATTCACATTGACATAGTTAGTAAAGATTGATTGGTCAGACCCACTGGATCTGAGAGAAGAAATTTCAGAATCGAAAGAGGCAACGGAAGATGTCATAGGAAGAGAGAGAAAACCCCTAAAACACCAAAGAGGTCCGATGGAAGCAACGAGAACAAATCCAGGAAGAGGGAAACGAGGTGAGTCCGGCACAGGTGGTAGCGGCCTGAACAGAGGGACGGCACGCCGCCACGCGCGACGGCAAGGCAAGACGGTGACATGACTTTGGGTGGCGCATGAAGGAGCATGGCTGCTTCGATGATGGCGAAACTTCCACCGTGGAGGTCACATGGTCGAGACAAGCAAAACCCTATGCTCAGCGGTCAAAACGGTCACCCTGGCAACGACAAACAGCTGTGGACAGCGATGGTGGCGGATAGTGGCGACGACGGTGGTGGCACTAGCTACGACAGCAACTGTTGCAATGGCAAGGATGAAAAATTTCTTTTTTCCCAAAAACCTTAATCTCTAGATACTATGTTGAATATAAGAAAAAACGGTATAGGGTTAATCTCCCTTGTGTATAAACCACACATAGGGTAATAATCTATTTATAATTTAAAGAAATACAACTAAAAGTAAACAAAATAAAAAAAATATATTATTTGATATTATGATTAACAATATTTAATAATATTTTAATAATATCAAATAATATCTAAACAACAAATAACAATATCTAATAATATCTAAATAATATTTATACATTATCTAACAAGAAAATCTGGTTTGTGTTGCAGGTGTGTGGTAGCATTTACTTCAGATCTAATCTTTCTTCAGGTGAGTTTGAATCCCAACCGTAGGAAGGGCATGAAGGCACGTGCTGTGAGTCTGGACCACTCGTAAGTATCCGAGTCATGTGATGGGAATTTGTACTCCTTCTGTCCCACGATGACTATAGTTTTAGCCGTCTAAAAAAATTCAAATTGATTGCTGATCTCACCGTCCAATATTTGTCTTCATATTAATTACACTGTCTTGTCTTAGTAAAAGTAATATGCATTTACTAAAAAAATGACGCCATTTCAGTAAAATTGTTTAAAAAGTAGGTATATTTATCGTTGTTCTTAATATGTTCGGAATGACCTTAAACCGTAGTCACTGAAAACGGACAGTATAATAACTTTTTTTTTTTTTGTGCTTGTAAAAGAGAGTATGTTAATATAATGATGTGAACGTGACCTATGATAAGAGCTAGAGTAAGGGAAGTATATGAAGTTCTTCAACAAGTTGTTGGTTGACCAAATTGTGTTTTGAATTCATCAATTAATAGGCTTTAGTTTGATTTTGTTTTAAGTTGTAATAAAGGCCCAATTGGAAATTTAGTTATCAGTCTTTGGGAGACCAAGAGATGCATAGTTGCTTGACTTTTGGATGTCACAATTTCAGTTACAATCAATCATTAAGTAGTTTTCAATTCCTAGGTTAATAAATCATTATTAGCATTTATTTTCTTTTAATGAATATTTGTAACTCTGATGGCAAAACTTCTTTATAAGCTGAACCATTTTTATCAGAAATAACAAGTGAGTTTTATTTTTAGAAATATTAGAGTTTATTTCTTTTATCTTAGAGAGAGTGATTCTCCTAAATTCTTTAGTGATTCAAGAACCCTTGGCTGTATAAAAGGACTTTCACATCCTTTGTGTGTTGCCTTCCTTGGAAAGAGTGATTGTTTCCTTCTACCTTATCACTAAATTCCTAAATTTCTTACTAGGTTCTAACCTTAAAGATCCTAAATTAGCCCTTGTGTAATTGAGATTCATATCAGTTGGTATTCAGAACCCCAGTTTAAAGGTTTGAACATCAAATTGATGGCAGAGGAGGATAAAAAGAAAATGAGATAAAAATTTCTTCAAGAAAAGAGAGAAAAAAAAAGAAGAAGAGTGAAACACTTGAAGTGAAACACTTGAAGTGAAACAGAGCTATTTAGCCATAAAAAGTGAATATAATGTTTGTTCTACATTTAATTTGTCAGACTTATCTCTTTTTAATGTAGATGACGAATCCGATTTGAGGACAAATCCTTTTCAAGAGGGAGAGAATGATGTGAACGTGACCTATGATAAAGGCTAGAGCAAGGGAAGCAAATGAAGTTCTTCAACAAGTTGTTGGTTGACCAAATTGTGTTTTGAATTAATCAATTAATGGGCTTTAGTTTGATTTTGTTTTAAGTTGTAATAAGGGCCCAATTGAAAATTTAGTTATCAGTCTTTGGGAGACCAAGAGGATGCATAACTGATTGAATTTTGGATGTCACAATTTCAGTTACAATCAATCATTAAGTAGTTTTCAATTCCTAGGTTAATAAATCATTATTAACATTTCTTTAATGAATATTTGTAACTCTGATGGCAAAACTTCTTTATAAGCTGAATCATTTTTATCAGAAATAACAAGTTGAATTTTATTTTTAGAAATATTAGAGTTTATCTTTTTTATCTTAGTGAGAGTGATTCTCCTAAATTCTTGAGTGATTTAAAAACTCTTGGCTGTATCAAAGGACTTTCACATATTTTGTGTGTTGCCATCGAGTTACAAATATTCATTAAAAGAAAATAAATGTTATTAATGATTTATTAATCTAGGAATTGAAAACTACTTAAATGATTGATTGTAACTGACATTGTGACATTCAAAAGTCAATCAGTTATGCATCCTCTTGGTCTCCCAAAGACTGATAACTAAATTTCCAATTGGGTTCTTATTACAACTTAAAACAAAATAAAACTAAAACCTATTAATTGATTAATTCAAAACACAATTTGGTCAAACAACAACTTGTTGAAGAGCTTTATTTGTTTCCCTTGCTCTAGTCTTTATCATAAGTCATGTTCACATCATATAATAACACGTGAGACAAACTAAAAGTTTTTAATTATAAATAACAGTTAAAAAAAAAAAACTAAAAGTTCTAATGGTATGATTATGAATTTTCTGTCTTCCTTTTTATTTAATGCTTTGTTGGTTTTATTTCAGCATGTGGTTTCACAGACCTTTAAGAGCTGATGACTGGGTGCTATTTGTGGTGAGTACCGTAAAGTGTTTCATTATTTTAGGAAAGTTAAAACTACAGTAAATCTTGGTAAAAATATTTCTAGGAACAACTAATTACTCAAACAGCTAATAAGCCAACAAATTGATTACTCGTTGATCACTATTTGAATATCATTAACTATTTAATTAATGAGTTTTTCATAAATTAAAAATACTTTTCCCCAGAATTCCTTTTTTTGTTTTTAATTTGTTCATTCTGTGGAGTTGTTAATACGTCCAATTTGTTTTACAGATCTGTAGCCCTACTTCCTCTAATGCCCGTGGCTATGTTACTGGGCAAATGTTCAATCAAAAGGGAGAGGTAAGGGATTATATGTTCACATCACTTTATCTACACAATCTTGATTAGCCATGTTTGGTTGTATGATCAAGATCTATTTATTTCACGCTCTCAATTATATGCCCCCAATATGTGTGCGTGCAGAGGGGGAGGACATATTTATTTGATGATTGTTTGGAAAATAAATATATTTTGATGATAACTCCCGAAAGTTAGAAGGAGGCGGATATTTCGTTTCCTTAAGTTATTATCTAAAATAATAGCTCATCCTCACTACATTATTCTCCTTTTCTTTTACATTTTAAATTTTTAATTAAACAAGTTTTTTTTTTTAAATTACTATATATCAGTCAAACATGCCTATGGAAATAATATTTTTGGGAATAATATTCCTAGGAATATGATCATTGGGAATACAAAGTTATACAGTTATCCTCTAACAAAATGAATTAACTATATTTGTAGGTTAAAATCAATTTATTTCAACTTTTAAACAAACTCTCATTTAACCTTTTTTAAAGTTGGTGTTGTTAAATAAATTTTAACATAGGAAAGCTGGGGTAGCCCATGAACTGTCAATATTCTTGCTTGTTAAATGAGGCTTCACAGAAAACTTATTAAAATAAGTTATTTTCAGTTTATTTAAGTAGGCTTCACAATTAAGTTTTTTTATTGTGAAGTAAATTTATCGAATAAGCGATTATTACATTTAATTCATATTTATTTTCAGCATTAGTTTTTCCTCTTTTCCCTTGTTCTTTTGTCTTAAGGTTTTCCCGCTTGGGAACTTGCAGCTTCTTGTTTCAGTGGTTCAAGAAGGTCTAATGAGGGAAGTTATTTCTGCAAATTCAGGCATCAAATCTAATATGTAAATGGCCGAAAAGGCACACGACTTGTGGTTTTCTTTTTAGTTCCTCTATTGCTTTTAATGCATGGTCAGGACAATTATTTTGTTTTCGTTGTATGGTGAATTCTAGAGTGAACCCTCTAATAGGTGGTGCACCTATACAACATCACATAAATGTGAAGTATATTTTATCCTTATATGACAATTTGAGTTATATGAATTATGCTTGAAATCCGTGCTTGCTTGAGACACGCATGTCTGCTATCATTGAGATGTTGTTGGGTATCCAATTGCGTTTTGATTTGGCTGAGTTTGTCTGGGAGGGTTTTGAAGTGCATTATTCATATCACACTTTGTGTTTGGGAGGTATAGATACGGCAAAGCCCCAAATTATAAGAAAATAGATATTTAATTTTCATGTCATTCTGTGTAGGAGAGCACATTAAACAGAATAACAAATACTTGGGACAATTCTCGGCCCATTCGGGAAATATCAACATATCAGAGGCAAATGGCTCATGGGCCGTGATAGTCCTTGAACCATTTGGGTTTAATTGATAGTCACTTTCTTTCTTATCCCATATAGTTTAAGAAAAGATAATAGTATCCTTGCGATTTACAGGATTCTCAGGAAAATCTATGAAATTGCTAATCTGGAAAGTATCAGAGTGTTTCAAATTAGTGAATGTGGAAATTTTCTCCTTTGCTACCCTAAAAAATACTACCATACCAGGCGATCCTTTTACAGTACCATTAATATTATATTTTATCTCCAATGTTAAACATTCTATAAACAACCTGGATAATTTTCTCAAATATAACAGTTTTACATACAGTAAAAAAAATATTAAGAATAATCAAAATCCGATTATAAATTACTCTTGTAGAAAGAATGTTAGCTGTAACAACGTTAACTCCTACCAAATTCGTAGCCCTATGAATGATAAAATTAATCCCAACAATTGCTATTAAAAAGTCTATGTTGACCTTGTGCAATAGAAATTTATCGTCCCACTAAACATATTTATACTCTCATTGTCTGTAATAATTTCCTAAAAAGTGAATAGAAAAATTTCATGAGAAACTAAGGGTCATTAGTACTCTTATATGAATGTCATTTACATATATACATTCATAAACAATTATTCATTATTGCATTGATTTTATATTTTTTTTATTGCATATGTTATACTCTGTATTTATAATTCTATCACCATAATACCTTCTACCTATTGATTGTGTGATGCAATGATTCCAGTGTCAAAAACATCAGTTCGCAAGTCAACGTCCAAACCAGTGTCCAAATCTATTCCCTTCTACCAACCGAATAAATTTGAATGATAAATTTTAAAGAATAATGATAAGTAAATGGTAAAACATGTCATGAACCAAATTTAAAACTATTGTAAAATTCATCATCGTCATATGTATCTATATCATAAAATGGTTAAAATGTTTGACTTGTACCTATATTATGTATAAAATAAATTGTTAAAACGTCTTAAACGTCGAAGTCTGGGTGGTGTAGTTGGTTATCACGCTAGTCTCACACACTAGAGGTCCCCGGTTCGAACCCGGGCTCAGACAATTTCTCAATGTTTGTATTTTGTGTACTCCTATTTTTATGCATATATATTTTCCATAAAGCTGTACCAGTTTTTTACTCTAGCCTTGGTTCATTTAATGTTCTACCTTCTCTAATGAAATACCTCTAGACCTCAATGAATTTACTAATAAGTGATCCTTTTTATAGGTAATAAGGAATTGAAATTGTTCCTATATAAATCAGATATGTAGTTCCGAATGTTATCTTGATTGTTTTTCACATAAGCAAATAATATGTGATCTTAGATTGTTGTAATCTTTAAGAGTTAAACAGTATCCTATTGACTTATAGGGGAATTTCAGCGAGTTTTTCAATAGCATGTTAAGGAGGGTAGTAAGAGGATATATTTGAATTAATTTGTGACAGAAAGTTTGTCAACTTGGAATGGTTGTTCTGAGATGGATCCATTACAGTTCAAGGCCTCAGATCAAAGTTGAAGCAATACAAGTGTTAACAAATGGCTTTGATACAAGTTGTTTCTGGTATCCATTTATCTCCTGTTGTTCCTTCCCAGTTTCCACAAACTAGGCTCAAAGTCTTACATTTAATATAGAAACAGGACACTGCTAAATTTGTATCTCCTTAAAACATATATTGCAATAACTGCTTTTCAAAAAAAAAACTACAGAAGGATTGAATATATACACAATTTGTTATGGTGTTACAGAAAGAAAGAGCATTACAGAAAGGTTCCTCACTTTTTTTTTATCCTTGAAAACAAACCAAGGTTTCTCACTTGGAAGTAGAATGTTTATCAACAAAGTATAAGAGAGCCTTGAGCACCTCCAAGATTCCCTTTTTTGTGTACAGAAACAAATTCACGAACAAACTCTCCAACTTCTGTAGTAATCACTTGAAAGAATGCATTCCTCAACTATACTTCATAAACACTATTTTTTTTTTTTTAAAATAAATTTCACGTGTCTTTCATGAAAAATAATTTTAGTCAAATTATGTAATATTATCAGTTTCGGTCGCAAGCTTACTCGACAAGTACTATGCTCCTTAGAGTATGTATTTCTCTTTGCCACCAAACTAATTTCTAACTAAAAATTCACTCTTCTCTGATATTTTTCTGTTCATTGATTATAAAGTGTAAGCATTGTAAGTAATCACATTTTTGTATTAGCTTTCTCACTAAAAAATAAGGACAAATATTAAAAAAAATAAAAATCTAAGACGATAATGCTGATTCACGGTCCTATTTTACTTTGTAATATATTCATCTCATTGTCATCGTTGGTATTTAATTTATAAGAAACAAGATGAAACAAGTTATTTTTTTTATGAAAATTGATAAAATTTTAAAAAATTATAAATTTAAATAAATCGTGCTAGTATAACTTTAAAAATGAAGAAATCATATTTGAGGGTACGATTTTAAATTAATTTTTGTTCATTTTAGATAAAAATCGTCGTATCACTTCTATATATTTTATTTAAAAAGAAGTCGTGCAATTTCTTTTTAAATTTTAGGTAAAAATTATACTAAGTTTACTTTTTTTATTTTTTACTATTAATAAAATAATATTAATACAATTAAATTAATAATAATAATGGTTATAATAATTATAATAATAATTATTAATTTTATTCTGACTTATGAATTATAATAATAATAATATAATATTGATGATAAATATTATTATTTTATTAATAATAGTAATAATAATAAATTATTAAAAAATTATTAATATAATAATTTATTAAAAATAATTTATTAATGATTTTGTTATTAAATTAATAAGTTATTAATAAACTTACTTTCAATAATATTACGCTAATAATTTGTTAATAGTTTATTATAATTATTATTAATAATAAAAATAATAATAATAGTTTTAATATTATTAATATTTATTATGAATATTATTAATATTATTATAACAATAAAATTAATAATAATAATAATAATAATAAGAATAAGAATAAGAATAATAATAGTAATGATTTTATTATTATAATTATTATAATGAATATTATTATTAATTTAATCTTATTATTAATATTATTTTATTATTGATAAAGTTATTATCATTATGAATTATAATAATATTACATTAATAATTATATTAATCATATAAATAATATAACATAATTATTATTATTTATTTTATTAAATTAAAAATAATTATTTTTAAATATATTAATTTTATAAATATATTATTATTTATTTTATTAAATTAAAAATAATTATTTATAAAATAAAAAGCATACCAATTTTGTACAAATTAAATATGTATCAAAAATTAAATTATATACTACTTCTACCTAAAATAATAAAAAAGCAAATTAAAACGTATCATTAAACAAGTTTTTTATTTAAAAATTATAATAAAATTTATCTAAATTTATAATTTTTAAAATATACTCAAATTTTAAGGGAAAAAAAAGATACCATTTAAAAAAAAAATCGAGCAAGTAGTTCGCATAAATCCGGAATCCATTTTTCTAACTCGCCTCACGTAGTTGTGATCATGTAGGTTTATGGATAAACTCTACATATAAAATAAATAAAAAATGAAAAAAAAATATACAGTATGTAAATAAAATACAGACATATTATCTCATCTTAATCATTTATATTTTCGTATATAAATTTTATTTAAATAAACTATAAAATATATAAATAGTATAATAATAAGATAAATAATGATTTATATTATATATAATAACTTAAAAAATTGACTTGTAGAGATCATTATTTTAATTTAAAAAAATATTAAAAAGTAATGTGAATTAGGCCGCGAGGGCTGGGACTGCGCATTAATTCATCACCCTAATTAAGTAGTTCCATTTATAAGAAAACCCTATTTCACAAAATCAACTAATTTCTTTCACATTTATTACAAAATCAATTATTCAACTTTAAAGTTGGAGGAACCTTTAGGTAACTTTTTATCCAAAAGCATGGCAAAATAATAATCAAGAAAATAACAGCTAAGACCATTATTTGTTGACTCCATAACTCACCAAACATAAATATATGAGTTCCATAAGACATTATGAAAGCCATTTGCTTGGTTACTCCATGTATCCACCAGGATAAACTGAATATGCCCAAAATTAATTATGAGTTCGGTTTGCAAAGTTAAATTGAAGACACCCAAAGTTATGAAGGTTTGTGTTTGGGGTAAGATGGAAGGTAAAACATTAATGGTGCTATAACAAAAAAGTAGGGATAGAATTGAATGTCATAATTAAATTTGGCTTGGAAGAATTAAAATACACAAGGAAGAACAGCCTATCTTCTTCTTTATGATGTTAAAATAAACATTTTTTAGGCTGAAATTTAACTTGATAACTGAATTTTATAAACTAATATGTGAACTATATATTTTTATATTTTTACAAAACAAATTGGATGACTTTATCTCTTCTTGCATCCCATTATAAATAGACGTTTGTTGATGTGGTAGAAGAAGATACATCATCAGTTACAGTTTGTAGTGTAAGAGAGATGGAGTTGAACATGAAAGTGTTGGTGAAGGTTGCTTCCTTGCTTTTCCTCTTAGGGTTGGCTGCTACAACAGTTGATGCTCGCTTCGACCCAAGTTCCTTAATCACTCAGTTTTTGTCCAACCATGATGTCAATTATTTCAACGGGAAACTCACCACAAAAGCGTGCTGTGACAAATGCTTCTGCACAAAATCAATTCCTCCACAGTGCAGTTGTCGAGATATTCGAGAAACATGTCACTCTGTATGCAAAACTTGTGCTTGCACGCGCTCAATTGCTCCGCAGTGTCGTTGCATGGACTTTACCGATTTCTGTTATAAACCATGTAACCCCAATGGAACCCAAGCTCACTGAGAATGAACATTTTCTTGTCAACAAAATCACTAGGCTTTGCTTTCATCTTTGCCAATAAACCACTATGAATCAATACAAGTTTACACTTGGCCAAAGCATTTATTTTCGGACCAATTGCTCGTCATGCTGTTTCTTTTACTTTTGTGCCAAGACATTTTCTTTCTTCTTTTATTATTGAGAATGCTTAGTTTACAGTCTCTTCATAAACCCTTAACATTTCCAACGTTCTTATATAGTGAACTATCACAATTTCAATTGACAACATATCAATCTTATTAGTTGAAGACCCCGTGGCTTTAAAATATACCTTATAAAAGGTTAAGCACATTAAGATAGTTAACGAAAACAGCTGCATGATTTGGAATTCTATATTTTGCCATCGAGATGAGAGAGGTACTATGATTCTCTTTTAATTTGCAATAGATATTTACAACTTATACAGGTTAGCTAACAAAAACCTTTATATTTATATACATCGTCACTATACTTTCCTTGAATAAAAAAAATATTTAGAATGCATATTTCTTTATTTTGTTATGTAAATATCATTTAGTAGAAAATATCATAGTTGGGTGCCACACTACATTCAAACACACCACATCCGAAGGAATAATAAAGATCAAGAACAATATAAACTACAGGCATAATTTTTCTTTTTGAGTAAAACTTTTTAATGCAAGATACAATTTGCTTTCACCGATGAAATTCAAACAATCACAAAACTACTACACCACCTGTCAAGTGTCTTGGTATATCTAAAAAAAGTTTATCATAAAAAAATGTTTATGATAACCACTTATAAACTATACTTCTACCTACCATCAAGAATAGGGGTTTCAAGCTCCATAGGATTACAAGGTCACTTTTCCTGATCGAAATTGTTCCTTTGTCATACCAGAATAGACAGGTTCTTTGCCTGAAAAGGTGATGAAATTCCAGCCAAAAGCAGATCCTCCAACTACATATGTCCCTTGTGAGTGGCCATCTTCAAGCTTCTTCTGAAAGGTAAGAACTGGTGGAGTATGTTTAATTTCAGATGGCTGCGCAAACGATTTCTCTACTTGAATCTCCTCTGGAGACTTCACATGTTGAGGCTGCTGCTCTTTCAGTGTTTTGTGATCCATATTCTGACCAGCTTTCGTTTGGCCATCTTGCATGTTCTTAGACTTCGCCAGTGAAACCGCATCTGCCTTCATGTTTTCATATAACTTGATCACAATCTTCAGCTCTGCAATTTAAGTCAAAAGGCATATTTCAAGCTACCACATGTAGTATTTTTACACCACCTACACCTAAAACTACCAGAAATCATAGACATGGTGGCATCACCAGGAGACATGGTGGCATCACCAGGAGACAAGGTTCTACCTATATGACAAATATACCATTATCATTTGATTATTTGATCAAACATGTAATATAATTTTTTACTAGATGAGCATAGGTCCTACCTACATGCCAATCATTAAAACACGAATCTCCTCCATGCAGACAAAACAGAATTATTTTTGTTCAGAGGACAAACCAAATATATATAGTCAATTGCTTCTCCAGTTTCATCAAATCAGAAGTATACATATATATATATATATATATATATATATATATATATATATATATATAGAGAGAGAGAGAGAGAGAGAGAGAGAGATATGATTTGATTATTTAATCAATCATGTATTGAATATATTTTTCTCAGGATGATCTTACGTTCTTGAATTTCAAGTGATGCCTTGCAATTTTTGTAGTCAGGAGTTCGGATAACCTTCAAGATCAAACAGCAACAGTCAGGTATGACAGTGTTTCAAGTGAAAAGGGAAAGAAATACATTGGAAATTTACTTAATCCAACTGAGCTATTAGCAAAATGACTCAATAGTTCATACAAATCCTAATCAGTTTCAAACATCATAATTTACTAAAATGATTACCTACAACTCGTATCACCGCCTTGGATCAAATATAAGAAACTAGTTACTTAGTACATGGTGGTGTATATAAAAATATAGTCAATACATAATGGTATTATTATGTCATATGAGTTAGTTAATGCAGCATACAAATATGAAGTACATACAAGTATGCAACTAGTAAGAGATTTTTCTCACCTTCTAGGTTCCAACTGACCAAAAAATAAAGTGGGAAGTTCCAAAATTGTGCTGAATCAGCAGGGAAAGTGTACACTTTTTATTCGTTCCATATTCATATTTTGAAAAAGAAGTACTTAAAACCAGAGACTAGTCTTGCCCAAATGGTATTTCAAGGGACTATCTAATCATTATGCTGAGACTAGTATACTCTGTTGAGCTGATGCTATTAATTTTCGCATCTTTTCTTTAAAAATTACTTTCTTTATTGGAGATAGTCTTATTAAGCATGTTATTTCTTATTAGAAAACGGATACAAACTCAATAGGTTCTATATTTTAGAAACCATCAGCAGGTCATTCTTCATTACAATACCTATTGAAAATTTAACTTTAAACAAATTAAGATTGTGTGTGTGTATGTAGTATATAAATCAAGATACTTGAACTTTGTTTGATTTTTCTGGTCTTTAATTTTGGACTTAAAACTTAACATAAGCTTAATCACAAGTATGTCCTTTCTCTGGGTGCTAAACTCTCTTTGAAGGAAAACAATTAAACACAAGACAACTATAAGAAAGATGATTTATGAGAAATGATAAGGGAAGGCACCTTAAATTATGTATTTGCAAGTCTCTCCTCAACTAATCTTGGATTGATACAATATACCCAAACAAAGTTGCACGTGCATAAATTATATTAGCTAAAAACTAATCTCTTCATTTATATTCAAACAACCAAGAAGATTACCAAATATCAAAGATACAATGATTGTAAGTAGGGATGGCAAAACGGGCCAGCCCGCCCGTTTGGCCCGCCCGCCTTTGGCCCGCCAAAAGCGGGGCGAGGCGGCTGGCCCGATATAGTCATGACGGGCTGTAGACCTTGGCCCGCCCCGCCAAGGGGCGGGTTGGCGAGCTGGCGGGCCAGCCCGCCATAATTTAAAAAAAATAATTTTTTTTAATAAATTTAATAATAAGATTATTATTTGTTTGTCAATAATTCAATATATATATATATATATATATATATATTATTTCAATTTAATAATATAAATCAATATATTATTTTAAGAAATTATAATTTAGAACAATAATAAAATTTACATAATAATAAATAATAACAAATATATATATATATATATATATATATATATATAAATAACGTTAAACTTATAAAATTTATATTGAAAAATTCAAATACTTATATCTTTTTTATTTGATAAAACTTCATATTATACTTGGTTGAGTAATTCTTATACCTTTAATTCAAGTAATAAGGATAAATATAATCAAGTACTTAGGATAAATAAGGAGAACAGGAGAGAAGGTTATATTTCAGGAAGGAGAATATTTTCTGTGAGAATGAAACTTTTTTAATTCTCTTTTTAAAATTTTTAACTTTATATATTATCTTTATAATTAATTTTATTACAATAAAAAATTATTTTTTTATTAATTAGGCGGGCCGCGGGCTGGCCCGCCCCGTCCCGCGGGTTGGCCCGACGGGTTGGCGGGCTTGGCGGGGCGGGCCAAAGCGGGCTGGTGGGCTGAAAACACCAACCCGCCCCGCCATATTTTGGCGGGCTGGCGGGCCAGCCCGCCGGGCCTAGCCCGTTTTGCCATCCCTAATTGTAAGGTGGAAGCACAGGTAAGATGATAAAGATCTTGGACTACAGCCATACTTCATTTGCATTATTATTTGACACTTTGAAATTAACACCTTTGGATTCAAGAGATTAGAAACGGAAATAATTTAATTGGAGTTTGGCGTATACCAAATGTGGATCAAGGAAATTAAAAAGTCAAAGCGTGGGAAGAAATTATTGTGGCATATCCATCCAGACCCTGTGCTTATAAGTTAATATGTTATAAATTATAAATAGATTAGCATGGAATCCATTTATATTTTGTTTCATTAATTCAGTACCCAACCAGTCATCCAACCATTCTAGTTTCCACTTTACTCTATTTCAGGGTTTGCTTCTCATGCAAGCAGGGCCATGTAAAGACTGAAAAGTATGAGTTTGGGCATAGGAATTTGCAAAAATACACATTGTTTTTTAGACGAGTCATGTTAGTAAGTTATAAAGTCGATTTTCTTAAAATACACTATAAGTGTAGCTTGCTAAAATTTTTCTTCTAAAACAAGTATATGTTATCAAACTCCTCAGGTTCTTCCTGTTTAGAAGAAGTATGAAGTTATCAAGATATAACTTCTATTATCTCAAAATATACCCTAAGTGTATCTTACTAAAACATTCCTTCAAGTCAGCATTGGATAGCAAACCCCCCTCCCCAGCATATTATATAGCAGCATGACCACACATATCTCTTCATACCATTAGATTAGCTTACTTCCAGAAAATAGTAAGCTCCACTCATCCTCATTCTTTCAATCATTCACCTTAAACCATACTAAACTCAACTAATCCGCTCCTTAATCATGTAACAAGTTGACAATCCAAGTATTCAGCCTCAGAGATAGACCTCTCGCCTGTAAAATCGTTCACTTCCATTGCTGAAATAGTTCAGAGATATCACTCTAAGAAAATTATAGAAACAAGATACTGAAAACAACCAACCCACCTTTCTAATTGCTAGCTCCAGAATTTGTTAGAACTCCATGGCACTATTTGCGATCTGAACTCCTACAATTAATTTTGATTACCCTACTAAATAAATTATATCCTATCACTACTGATTACACATTTACCCCATTTTTCCAAATCCTTACGAATGACCTATGAAAAAACTTCATTCCTTTGATCATAAAAAATGTTACATTAAAATTATTTATTTAAAATTAAATATTCACTTCCAAAAAAGAAATTCATCAGAAACCCCACTAACTGTATTAGAAAAAAACAAACTCGAGAGTGGATGTGAATAATACCCCAAGCATAAAAGAGTACCAAATTGAGGAGAGGAATAAACTCAAGATTTTCACACAATTAGTTACAAATTTGAAGACTGGAAAGACAGAGAGTTAAAATACTAGTCAACTAGTTTTATGAAGGCGTACTTTATCAAATAAGCAACAAACAATGGTTATGGCTACGTAAAAAAATAAAAAGAGCAGAGATTTGGGATAATGAACCTCCAAAAAGTGAGGACGAAGGTCTCGAATGACGGCACGAAGCTTGAAGTAATTGGAGGGGCCCTTGGAGTCGAGTGGTCTCTTCTTCGTCGCCGGAGGAACTGGAGGAGCCACAGCTGGCTTCGCTTCTTCCATTGCAACAAAGTTTTTTCTGCTTTCTCTTCTGAAGTAAAAAGTGGCCACAATTTCAATTTCACTCTTGAATTTATAAAGCTAAAAAAATCTTTATTTCAAGATTATTTATTAATTACAGTGTCACTCTATTATCATTGTTTAGCAGTTTTTATTGTTTCAATTTTTAATTTTTATTATTATATTTAATAAATTTTACATTATTTTATCATTCCTTACATATATAATGACATGCTGATTTGTCAATAAAAATCAAATAATAATTCATGTTTATTTATTTTGCTACCTTGTAGTTTCATAGTATATATTTAATAAATGTATTAAATATATGAAATTTTAATATATGATGATAAAATATACAGAAAAAACTAAATAATAACATTTTTAAAATATAGATGATAAATTATTAGTAAAATTAATATTAAAAATGTTCATCTTTAGATAATTTAAAAATTGAATAATAATAATAATAATAATAATAATAATAATAATAATAGATTAAAATTGAAATTCTATGTAATTTTTTTCTTAATTTGACAAATTAAAAATTAATAATTGAATTAAATTGAACAAAACTATTTATTATATTTAAATATAATACTATATATTTAAAAATAATTATTAATTAATAAATATGTATGATTATATTTCTTAAATATTATTTTATTAAATATATTAAAGTAACTTTAGATTATGATTATAAATTATAAGATTGTATAATTTATATAAATATAAAAGAATTTAACATTATAAATATAATAAAAATTTATATCTTTTTATTTGATAATTTTTTATGATAAACATTTAATTATTAATAAGAATAAAAACTCAAAACAAATTGTAAATATTAATTTTATATTAAATTAAAATCAAATTAAAGATAATCAATTTTATTTTTATATTTGATTTATATGATTATTTGATGAGAACCAACAAAGCCATAAATATCTTATTATCATATCTATTTTTATAGTCATTTGTGTATATTTAAAGTTGTAGTTTTGAATTTTACTTCTAAAAATAGTAATTAAATAATCAAAATATGTATTTATAAAAATACATTTGATAGGGTACTCTGATTTTCTTTTGTTAATCTCTCCATATATAAATCTAATATATGATTTGTTACGATAAAATAAGTAAAAGAGAATTAAAATCATATAATTTTAAAAGTTAATTAGTAATATTGTCAATTTTGAATTAAAGAGATTAAATTTAAGTTTAATGTGGTTTCATGTGTACTTGTTGAGTAATTAGTTAGTATAAACCATTGAAGTTAGGTATTTTCGTAATTACCAAATACAAGTATGGGAATATTAGTATTTTGAGAAAAAAATTTAGAATAAAAAAAGTGTTAAAATTGATTTTGTAATAAAGTGCTTTTAAAAAATGTACATAGTATAATATCGCAGGTTTTGTTGTTTGCACTCTACTACACCTCTTTTACTGGGCTTTCTAGTTGCTGCACTCCTGCTAATTACTTGTCAGACACCTTGAGCCCAAATAGTTGTATGTGAAAATATGGTCTTTGGATGACCATATGGTCTATAGTAATTTTTAATATTATTTTTTTTAATATCTCACTGAATAAATGATAACACATCAAGTCTCAAACTTTTGAATTGCTGAAATAATATATGTCCCTATTTATAATATAATAAATAAAATAAATAAATATTAATATTAACAATTAATAACAATAATATTAATAATAATTTAAAAAAATTTATTTCTCTTTAAACAAACAACTTATAATTTTACCCTTTATTTTTTGTATCCATTTTTTTATAATGTTATCCTATTCATCTCTTTGATCTGCTTTCACTTTACTCAACTCAACACTTTGAAGTGAGATTTATCTTTTTTTTTTCCTTCCTGTTTGAATATAATCACAAAATGCTTGCTACTAAAATTTCTTACTTATGACTTCATTCTCAATATTTACAACTTTCTTTTTCTAAAGAACTAGAACAACATGATGATGAAATATTTAAAATACATTTGGATAAATTTCACTACAAGAAAAATTGAAATTTTCGATGGACAAAATCCGTCGGTAAGTAACAAAATCCTTTGGTAAATATATATTACCGATGGATTATCGACGGTCCTAAATCCGTCGGTAATAGTGTTATCGGTAAAATTTACCAACGGATTTTGTTAGTCCGTCGATAAATATCATGGGTAATTATCGACGGATTTTTCCGTGGGTAATTTACCGACGGATATATCCGTCGATAAATACCCATTACATTACCGACAGATTTTACTATTCCGTCGGTAAATGTCGTAGATACTTACCAACAGATATTTTCGTCGGTAAATGTCATAGATAATTACCGAAAGATACTTCCGTTGGTAATTACCAATTATGCGCAAATCTTATCGACGGATTATCCGTCAGTAAATCCGTCGATAAAACCACCTCTAGTTCCAGAGCAGTTTATTTTTTTTTTCATCCCATATAACCTGTAAAATAAGATTCAATCCAGTCCAATTCAATAATATATTCAACAATTCAATTAAACATAAATCTAACTCACCTTAATCATAAGTAAATTCAAACGTACTGTAATTTATGCATAATGAAACATAATGTATAATCCTAAAAAGAGTATCAACATACAAGTATAATTGAAATATTATTCTATAGATGTTTGTATAACATTTAATAATGAGAATAATCAGGAGAATGATGTTCTGGTATGTTGTCGTCCTGTGGTGGGTTATCTTGTTGCTCTTCATTCAATTGTTGTTGTTGGGGTTGTTGTTCATCATCTGCTTCACTATGTTGACGCTGTTGAACAAGAGATTGTGCACTGGGGGGTAGAAGATGACCGACAAGGGATTGAAACTCTCTGAATTGGTGCTCTAGTCGTTCATTTTGCTCCCTTGTTCGACGTATTTCTTCTTCTTGTACAGACAATCGTTATCTCAACTGATTAATCTCTTCTAAGTCAACTGAGGAGCTGGATGCTTGAGTTTGATGCTTCAAGCTATCTGAACCACCCTGATAGCCATCACCAAGTTGTCCAACCCTATACAATCTTCCTTTATTCTTACCTCCAACTGTGTCCACCCAACAACATGACCTTATAACCTCATCATGTGCAGTATCAGCAGGAGTGGACTCAGGTTTGCCAACACAAGATCCAGCAGATGACCTAGCTTGTGAAAGTCTAGTTTCAAATTCCTCCTATTAGTAGAAACAAATCAATTATTAACATGATTATTAACTTTACATAATATATAAAGTTTAACATGAAGGTTCTCATGTGTGTCTTCCTAGATCTTTCATAAACAAATTGACCCGTCTTCCTTCTAATGTGAGTTTGTTGGAAGATATCATCAATAAAAATTGATCTTCCAAGCTCCTTTGCCTACATTACATAAACAATTTGAGATATAAAACCCAATAAATTTTTCAAAATCGTAAATGTATGATATAAAGACTTACCATACGTATGACATGCTCATGTGTGTTGATAGAGCTACTTGTGTAAAGACTCCCACCCTTTTCAGATGCCCTATTTTTTGGGCTTGTGCAGATTTGGACCGATACATTGGTGAGTTCCAATGTGCTAGCAAACTGCTCCAAACGTGATCTCCAGTCTGGTCTTTGACCAACAATTCTTGCATCCCTAAACATCTCACTAAGTCTGTGAGATGCTTTGGAATGAAAATTTTTCTTTATTTGATGTTCATGTTGTGGTCTCCACTGAACCTTCATCTATAAAAGTATAAATTGTTATACACATTATAGAAAAATGACTACAAAACATATATTCAATAATTATAGATATATACATTAATGGAAATCAATAGTAACATTAAACATCCTTCTAATAATTAAGTATGTACAGAAGATTAAGTTACCTTAAAACGTTGAAAAAATGACTCCTTATCACTATTAGGTATCACTCCCCATGTCGCCCAAGGTTGAAGAAATTGTTGTTTAATACTCTTTGTTATAGTTTGTGATGCAACTCTGGACGGAAGAAACCTAATTACAAAGAAAAATTAATACAAGTTACATATGTGCTGAAAATGACTAAAACTTAGTTATAATAAATAAATTGGAGAATTTAAATTAAATATTACCCTTGACCATAAGGTTCAATCATCGGTCGATCATGTATAGCAGGAACATCTTCTTCAACCTCTGAATCAACATCTACAGTAGGTGAGTGACCTTGAGAGGAGGAAGGTCCTGAGGCCACAATAGGGGATGGAGATGGAGAAGGAGTGAATGCCACAACTGGAGAAGGAGTGGGTGCCATAACTGGAGAGGAGGAAGGTGTTGATGCCACAATAGGGAATGAAGATGGAGAAGGAGTGGTTGCCACAACTGGAGAGGAGGCGGGTGCCACAACTGAAGAAGGGGTGGGTGCCACAATTGCAAGAGAGGATGGTATGGGTGGTAAAATAAAAGTAGATGGTGTTGTGAATGGTGTGGGTACAATAGGTATAAGGGGTGAAGGGGATGGTGTAGGTCCTACAACAGAGGATGGTGATGGTATGGGTGCACCGGGTGTGGATGATATAGGTGTAGTGGATGGTCTAGGTGTAGTGCATGTGGAAGGTATATCTGTGGAAACCACTTTCAAAACGTAACATGGTCTCTTTTTCTTTGATATCGCTTTCCCCTTCCCTTTATCACTACCAGAGGGTGGAGGTCGAGGTGGGTCAGAACCTCCTGCGGACATATCTATACATAAAAATATAAGATTATGAATAACTTATGATGTAAAAACTCATATAAATTAAGGGACACTCAGTTAATAACATAATTCATAACAAATAAGGGTACAATATGTTTTTTTACAAAATCAAAACATTTATGTTTCTAATTTTCTTGAAACATTAGGCTTCATCCTCATCATTATCGTCATCCTCTTCTTCTTCCTCTTCCTCTTCCTCTTCTAATTCTTCAGGATTAGCTTCATAGTCATGTAATCCAAATATGCTTTCCACTTCAATGACTTCATTGCCATGTAACATTT